TAATTTTGATTTCTAAGAAAAAATTGTGTAGATTATTACTTAAACTATTTAGAAACTATATTAAATACTTCCTAAAACTGAATTTGCCTTTTGCCTTAGTTTACTATCAACTATTATTCCAAGATCACTTTCACATGTACAGTTATATTTCAATCGCTCTCTCTAAAGTTGCATCTTTCCATAATCTATCCTGTCTAATCATCAAAACCATAAATCAGAAGCTTTTTTTTTCATTTTTACACAAAAAGCCCATAGAGTTTCTAATCTTCAATAAATGTAACATTGTCTTTCCTTTAATCCAAGAAGTCAAAATCAGTTTATTTATCTCAGCAAGATTTATCAATTTCACCAAACATCCCTCCATAGTGAGTACAATAATGCAAAATCATTCCATTTTTGTTCATATAATAATCTTGCTGCAATACAAGTAGTCATATATTGAAATAATCTTATATGTATCCAACAACCCTAAAAGGAAAAGTTCTTGCTTCAATTGAACATTAATATTTAAAATCCTCTGTTATCAATGTATATATTTGAACACACAACTTTTAGCTTTTTTACATGTTCTTGAACATGAACATCCCTTCATGTTCACATTTCCAACATACATTTGAAGTGCTTTTATACATTCTAGATAATTTCTCTCATGTCCGTTACCAACAGTATATCATTTTATAAACATTAAGATCATAACATAATGTAAATGTCAACCCGTTTAGCCACATATTGATCCATCTGTAGATTATAACCAAAATTCTTAGCCCACTTTATCCTATATTCTTTAACCTATTCTTCCTGTTTCAAAATTTAACAAAACTTAGTACATTTCAGCAATTACATGTTTGTCATCAGTGCAGAATTGTACTTCAAATTCTATCTTACTTTGTTCCATACCATACGTCTTTTTTTCCATTTTGAATATTTTTGATAAGTGTAAATGGGGAAACCATTGACAGTTATGGCCTTTTCCTACTAGTTGCTCTCTTTATTTAATACCCCTTGATGGTTTTCCAATAGTTCCTAGTATGTCAGTCATTGTCCTTGGCTATTTTTCTCTTCTGTGAAATGTTTCTTGAGCTGAGATCCACAGAAGTATTTTCAGGCACAATCTGGGTTTATATTTATTCCATATTCTCAATATGACATATCTAATAAAATTATTTTTAAAAGCTACATTAATTTAAGCATTATTTTACACTATAAATATCCATGCCATCCAAATGTCAAGTTACCTTCTAATTTTAAATGACTCTTGTTTTCAGCAACAACCATTCTTTCCTCCAGACAACAAGTTGCAAAATACAATTTCAAATCCCTGTCCTCTTTCCTTTGCATTCTGTAACACTTTATATTTAAATTGTGGCTTTTTCCCCTTGCCATACAAATTTAGGTATATTGTTCTGCCATTATTTGAATAGTGTATCAATTGTGAAAACAGGCATTGTTTGAAACAAAAATATAATTGTAGGAAAACATTCATTTTTATCACAAATTTAACCCAACAGTATTTTATTTATTTCCCAAATTCTAGGCATTAGAATGTATAAATAACAAAAGTCATGGGTTGTTATTTCTGATTTTTCAATGAGTGGTTTAATAGGTTTATATATAATTATATAAACACTCTCACTTAAAATACAGGGTCATTAGTTCAGAATTTTCATCCATAACTTCTACAGAAGTTGTGAAAATTTATGTGATTTTAGCAATCCTTAGGAGGTGCAACCTATTTTGGGCCAGCAGGTCATAATCCAGGTAATTTACATCATAATTCTAGAGTCCAAATCTCTCACACAAGTATTGGCTATGGGTATAGCCAATCATTCATTTTCAATATCATTTGTTTTCTTTTTCCAATTGATTTTCATTGACTAAAAAGAACATTATCAGAACCTAAAGGATCTTGAGTTCTTTCCTTGGTCTCCAAAAGCTATGGTATTTAGGTAGTTGTAGGAAGTATCATTTATCATCGTATGGATTTATACAAATATGTAATTTTCAGAAGACTTGAGAAAATTCAAGAGTTCATTCTGTTACATCTTTGATCCTTGCTCCATATAGAAGCACATTTCATAAGGTGATAGGCTTAATCAGCATACATTTGCAGCATGATTTATTTTAAAGGTGAACAACCAATTACTACAACTTTTCTCTTTGTCTTCTCACAGCCAACAGCTGCATTTTCTCTGCCCTTTAGAGAATCACGATCCTGTGTCCTGTTCTAGAGTGTCTCTTTTCTTCCCCTGAAGGCTCAGCAGCTGTTTCTCCTACAAGGGCCTAAATCTTTCCTGATTTCCACTGGGACAGAGTATTTTTCAAAAATCTTGACAAAATCTTTTAAATATTACTGAAAGTTTCAGGGAATCCTCATTTATCTGCTTAGGAAAAATTAAAATCTAAAATGCTGGTTAGAAAATGGTTTCTTACAGAAGTATTACAATATAATGCTTGCCATGAATGATGTATATATTGTCAAAAAGAAAACAAATGATTTTTTTTTTTTGCAAATTTGCAAATAATTATGTATATAGAGGTGTGACTTTATTAGTGCCACATGTGTCTACATGGTATTTCTAGAAATACCCTAAAGTATCTATTGGTTATTTGAGATTGCAACTTTATTATTCAGTGTCCTTGCTGATAGCTACATCCAGGAAACAGCTAAAATGAAAGAAAAGATACCTAATAACTCCAGATCCTATCATTTCTCCCTTTTTAATGTATAAGATTGAAAAAACAAAATCCAACATAACAATTTAACCTATATTAAAATAAGAAGCAGAGTCTACAAATGATCAATTATTTGATGTGAAAATCGATTAGATTGCTCAAGTTTTCTGAATTAAAAATTGAGACATACCAAAGTAATATATAAACAGAGCTGTCAGTGGTGAAATAGCATTATAATTTTTAAAATGAAATACAAGATGTTACAAGAAGGCTTTGTTCTGATGTTTTTCTTAGAAATATACCAGTTCATCTGTAATTTCTCTTGCCAGCAGAAGCAAGTGAACATAACATTACAGGAAACATTAAGTTTTTAGATTTACATGGTGCCTGAATTTGAAATTTGAAAGACTGGTGTTGCCCTCTGCTGGATTATTGTATGCTCTGTTTTTAAAAATGAAAGTTTACAGGATAAAGGTTATCTAAAAAACATGTGGTTGCTCATGTAACACGTATGAGCAATTTCTTATTTCTACATCTTTTTATGGGCATGCATAAAATGTTTGGCAATGTTTGATTTAAGGAGGTGCCTACAGGTGCAATATATTCTCCCTACAAATATCTACCATTATAAACATTTTGTAATTTATGAAGAAAATTTAAATTGGAGAGTCTTTTAAGTGGTAGTACCTCAGCACCAGAATATTCTCTTCAAATAGATATGAGATCATATATTATGGCGTTTTGAATACTAGTTATTATTTTATTTTCCTAGGCATGGCAGCCCTATTTGTTATACCATATAGTTCTGATATATCATTTTTTTCCTTAAATTATCCAGAGATCTTTTGCTATTGAAAAGTACCGGTATGTAAACACTATAACTTACAAGGCCTGTCTGTGATGTATTACCCAGCTGGTAGGTAATGGCCTACTGGAGCAAGGGGGTATGGAAAGATTATGCATTATTTGAGTATCTAGTACAGGCTCAATAAGAAATGTATTCAGAGGCAATTCAAGTTTAAAGTATATTTATCTGGTTCAGCATAATTTCAGATTGTCCTAAAGGTGCTTTTCCAAAAGGCAACTTGAATTTCTTGGTTTTTTTCTCTGAAAACATTTTGCTTCTCATCAGAACTGAAGCAGCTTCTTGGATGAAAGGGGAAACATTTTCACGAAAAAAGCAAGAAAGTCCAGTTGCCTTTTGGAAAAGCATGACCTGGATGATTGATCATTTCAGTTTACACAAAAGATTATTTTAGTCTATAATCCTGAAAGAGTTCGATAGTAGAGAACCATTAGTTAGAGCTATGAAGAAGTTTCCATCTTGTTAGAATATGCATCACTCAGAATTTTGACTCTCCCTCATGAATTTACAAGAACTGATAATTATCCTTTTTTGTTCCATTACAATCTTCAGTCAAGTGCTATTCCTGCAAAGTGACCCTAGAACCATGAGGGTTAACCTTTTCGGCACAGAGTGTCGAAACTGGAGTGTGCGTGCATGCCGCAGCGCAGGAACCTGGAAGAGAGGAGATGGCCGGTGTGCATGCATGCAGCGGCCAGCGGCACTTCCAGCTTCCATCGCGCACATGCCGGACAGCTGGTCTTTGCGTAAAGACCAGCTGGCCATTGCGCATACGTGCAATGGAATCCGGAAGAGAGCAGCTGGCTACACTCGCATCTGTGCCGGACCACCTGGCCAGCGCACATGCACGCAATGGAACCCAGAAGAGCAGCTGGCAACGGCAGCGTGCCCACAGAGAGGGCTCTGTGTGTCACCTCTGGCACGCATGCCATAGGTTCACCATCACGGCCCTAGAACTATCCTACTTCTTGCTGTATCAGAGAAAGTGGAAATAAATATTATATAGGTTGTATGTAGAGTATGTTATTAGCAGAAGAACTTAAAATACCCTCACTTGTATACCCGTACTTTTACAATTAAATGAATACAATAGTTTGCAAAGAAACAGGAAAGCACTATATGTAAATATATGTGTTTTATATATATATATATATATTATTTATGTTTAATCGGGAATATTTTACATTCACTGACTAGTTAACTGGCTTTTCTTTTTTTTACTATCAAAGAACTTCTATTATTTATTAATGGCAGTAAACGTAGCTTAAACTAGGAATATTCTAATAATCTTCCAATCTTATAATTTAATTATTATGGACTAACTTCCTGAATCAATCTTGTATCCAATCTTAGTCAATATAATTGTTAAAAAACAAAACGCCAGTCTGCATAAATAAATTATTTCACATTTTGATGACAGGGAACTTGTTTGGATTTCAGCATTTTGCACAAACAGAAAATTGTGTGCAAGAGTTACAAAGGTGAATGAAACTGATAATTTTACATTCAACTTTTCAGAAATGGAAAAAAATATTCAGAGAACCTCAAAACCTTTGATGTATTTCCACATGACTACAGAGTTGAGATTTACTATGAGTTGTCATTCGCTATTGCTATTTGCACCAACTCAAACTAAAGAATGCAGCTGTTGCTGAAAATATACCTCATGGCACAAGGACCTGAAGTTTTGTATTAATTATGCAGTAGGTGTTTTTTCCCCCAGAATAGTAAGATTATTTATTTATATTTCATATTTCATAACTGCTCATTTCCCTCTCTATTTATCAAAACTAGTGTACTGTCTTTTCAAAATGTTGTAACAATAGCAAGATGAAGTATACAAATAATAATGAAATAAGAGCTCCCGGACTCCCTTATATGCTTTATTAATTGAGTGTGTAATGAGATTATTATTTTAAAGCATAGAGAAAGATGAAAGCAAAAGCTTAATTTGTTTAATTCTTTATATTAGACATAGGAGCAGTACTAGAAAAACTGGCAATTTTAGGGTACATTACAGCCCATCTGTTCCAAAGTCCTGAATGCATGTCTATTTATTTCATGAGTGGTATGGCACCAGATCTTCCTTATCAAGTTATGGCATGATAGAATAATAATAAAACATTCAGAAATTTAGACGTCACTTTATAGTATGCAAGTTTTTTGGCCATGGCAAAACATAATATTAATCGCCCAAAGTTATAGATCACATTGGCTGTCCCAAGATAAAAACCTCATCTAAAGTGACAATGTGTTGAGCCCTTATACCCGGAACAGGTCCATGCCTCTCATAGTCATTAGGAATTCCTGAGCTGTCTCCAACTTTTCTCCCACAGAAGGCAAATTAAGTCCCTGGGAACTCCACCACCAATTGCAGATTTTCTGAATGTTTTACTATGATACTACTATCATACCAACAGTTGTGACAGATTAATAGAAAAATTAATTTGTTGACCTGTTCAGTTACAAATTAACAATAAGCATGAAGTTCTAGTTTAGTTACTACAATTGGAACTTGGTGGTTAAGCAAAGCTGTCACTAAATGAAATCACAGCTGTGCTTATGATGTTACTTCAGCTTTCTTTCTTTCTTTCTTTCTTTCTTTCTTTCTTTCTTTCTTTCTTTCTTTTTTTGCTTTACAAGTCCATGAAGGTTGTAAACGCAAAGATTGGTCTGAAGATACTTTTTCATCATCATTGTAACTGTAAACAGTGTTTACTAAATAAACACTATCACTACATTCTGACAACTAAAAATCACCACATTTAAAGGAACAATCATATTGGTATAAATATGACATTAATATATATAAAACATAAAAAACGTATTTTGAACATAGTGTTGAATTGTAATGAGATTATATCTCATGTTACTGAACCGTAGCAATGGAACTAGATATTGAAAAATAATGCCACCAAGACTATTATGAGAAAAATCCTTGTGTGCCTGATAATGAACGAGGCATGCTCTGGAATGCCCAATGCAAAATCCCATCAAATGTATTCTGGAAGATCATAGAGAAAATAAAATAATCAGAATCTGAATATAGAAAGAAGATAATTCATAGGAATAGATTACACAATAAAGGCAAACGTAAAACTATTTTTACCCTTTTTAAAAAACAGATTCACTGTTCCTATACAGGGTAAACCACATCCAATTCTGATCTGTCATTTTTTCAGAAATTTGCAAATCATTTTGTGGCTAAATTTGTTAAACTAGCATGCCAAATGCTGAATATTACCAAGAAGGATTTGATTTTTGCTAAAGCTTGCCGATGCATTATAAATTCCACATTAAATATTTTACGGAGCCAAACAAATAAACCTACATCATTATTTATTTGATTTACCTCCCCTAAGAGTGAATCCAAATCATCTTTGTTCAATGCAGGTTCAGTTCCAGCAGAATCTTCTAGCACCTAGAATTCAAAATATTTCCTTACAATGCAACCTTATACATGTCTATTCAGAAGTAAATTCCACATGTTCAATAGGATTTGTTCTCATACTAAATACAGGTAGTCCTCCACTTACAATTTGTTTAGTGGCCATTCAAAGTTATGACACACTGGAAAAAAAACTTATGAGCATTTACAATATTTAGATATTATAACCATTGCAGGGTCCCTGCAAATGGTGATTGCCATTTGCAACCTTCCCCAATGGATCCAACAAGTAGTCAATGGGGAAGCCTGTGGCAAATCATGATCATGATCAGGTGATGCTTGCTTAACCACCGCGGTGATATGTTAATTACTTTGGCAAAAATGGTTGTAAAATCAGGTGTAAACACATGTCTCACTTAATGACCATACTACTTAACTACAAATGGTCCCAGATGGGTCATAAATTGTTCTGGTCCCAGATGGGTCATAAATTGAGGACAACCTGTATGGACTGGACTATAGCCTTAGTACTTAAGTTTTTATATAAATTAGGTTCATGTGTTTAACAATAGCCAGTATTCTAAGGCAGTGGTCCCCAATCTTTTGGGCTCTGTGGACTAACAGTTGTGGTGGCAGCAGCAGCAATGGTAGCGGGGTGGTGGTGGTGAGGGGATGGTTTCATGTGCGCACCCGCTACTGGCACAAATGGAGTTCACGCATTTGCCTGCCGCTTGCACAGAGCAGTTCCCAATGGGCCGCAGATTGGTACCATCTGTGGACTGGGAGTTAGGAACCCCTGTTTTATTCTAATTCAGCTGGAGAGTATCAAATTACACAAAGCTGGTGTAAATTTTGTGCAAAATAGCTATGATAAAAGGAAAACACCAGCCTTATCCATGAGAGTTTAAAAAGTCAGGTGTGAATAAATTAATCTATCTTCATACTCCTTTGTCCTGCATTTGTTTGCTGATACCTGCTCCTTGCCTCTCTCCAGAAAGGGGTCAGTGCAATAATCAACAGAAGAAAAGTCTTCACTGTGTTCAGTCTAGTTAGAGGAACATGGATATAAGACTTTTAGTACATTGTGGTTGTTAAGTTTTGGAAATGAAAATTATCCTATAAGCTTGAGGCAGAAGCAATTTGCAACACTTTTCAAAAGAATAAGCTACATGAATGGATTAACAGATAACCAAATAAAACTTGTATGCTTTGTGTCATAGTTAAACACATGGAGACTACCATACCTGTCTTTTTCTTCAAATTTCTCTTCAAAATTCACTTCTGGAATGAATCCTTTGATTTGACACATTCATTTATATTTATAAACTTAACCTGTTGGGTCAACCTTTCAGATATATTTGTGAGTGCAGAGAGACTTACAGAGATTCTGTGGGTGCAGGAGACTTACCTGAGCAACTTGAGACATTCTCTTGCAAGGTTCCCTGTTGACTTTCTCCCCTGCAAGCTTTTTATGGAAGGGTGTGATCCCCATTGACTTTCTCTCTGAAAGTTTCCCAGGCTTCCCCATTGGCTTGTGGGCATTAGGGAAGCTGTAAATTAGGATCACATAACCCTAGCAGCATCGTGGCAGCAGTCAACAATAGCAATGTTGAAACAGCAAGAACTTTCTAAAATTTCATTCCAGCAGAAGCAATGGGTACCAGCATTCAGAAACTTAGCCCATTTGCAATACCTTAGTTGAAAAAGTTTTGCCCTGTGATGCATTGTTTCACAGTTAAAGCTTACAAGTACAAAATTTTAGTATTATATAGGTACAATTAACTTTGCAAATGGAACTATATTTACTTGCAGATTTCTTCCTACTTTATCTCTATGTTCCAATATTTGTTGTTGATTTAAGATTGTAAACTTCAAGGAGCAGTAATATTTTTGTCTAAGAAACTGGAATGTGTTTAGCATACTGATCGAGACTAACAAAGAAAGTGTACTAGATTTAGCAATTGGAGCTCAGGGAAGTTATGCTTATTCAGAACTTTTTGTATTGTAACTCCCATTAATCTCAGATAACAATTCCCAATGATGGGAATTGCATATCACATCTAAAGCATAAAAAGTCATGAAGGCCATCTGTGTATATACCAGAGTGTCTTTAATCCAGTGGGCACAACAAGGCTGAAAAAATATATAGAAAATCTGACCTTTACTGCTCGTAGTGTTTGAGCACTGGAGTGAGCGTCTCCTTCCAAGCTGACAACTGTAGAGTTGTCAAAACAGGACTTACATATCAGGATTCCACTAGAACACAATGTAAAAACAATCTTAAGCATTCCCTCAAGGTATAAGAGTTGATTTCAGATTCCATGGTTGTTAAACTGGATAGAGCTATGTTAGACTACAAATATAGGTAGATTTTCAAATGATTTAATGTTTTTTTCCCTCATGTGAACCTTTTATCTAATCAAACAGAAGCATAAACATTTGGACTAGAGCCTTCCACCTTATCATCTTGTTTCTGATATGCAGGGAGATTTAGAGTGATGGTGATATGGTGGATGATTCAGTTATGCGAATTTGCACCTGGACAGAACCCTTTGTAAAAGGTGGAGATAGAAGTCTTGTCTTAACTAAAGTTTTAAAACTGTCTTGGAAAAAATTAGAAACAAATATGCCTCTAGGGGCCATATTAGCCACATTAATTTAGTGCAGCCAACATCAATATTTGCCAGGTCTCCATTCTCCTCCTGCTCACTTTCGATGGTAACAGCTGGAGCCTTTTTTCATAAGAGCTTTGCGGTAAGCTAGATGCCCAAAGTTTGACAAATATGAGATAAATGAAGATTTATTCTTGGGCACAATTAATACCTGATTTCATCTGTGTGGGCAGGAAAATGGCAGCGCCAGTGGAAAGCCCTGAAACATTTATTGCAGTAGATCACATCTCCTCCTTTCCGGCATATACCGCATTTGTCACCAATGGTTAGTTTCTGAAAAAATATAATTTAAAGTAATTTTCTAGCAAAAAGTGGTCCTTTTTTACCTCCTTGAGAATAATTTTGTACTTTACATACCATCTTTTCTATCCAGTGTTTAACAGTTCTATCGTAATTGCTTAGACCTCTACTTACATTGCCATTCTTAGCCTTATAGGACACAATAAAATGATAAAACTTAAAAAAAAAACATTTAAACTTTGAAAACCTCAGCAATAATAGGTTGAAACTGCCTGGTCCACTCCCACTGCCAGGAGCTTGATCCTGACTAGCTCAAGGCTGACTCAACCTTTCATCCTTCCAAGGTCAGTAAAATGGGACCCAGATTGTTGGGGATAATATGCTGACTCTGTAAACTGTTTAGAGAGGGCTGTAAAGCACTGTGAAGTAGTATATAAATCTAAGTGCTATTGCTATTTAGAATCCAGGATAATGGGGGGAGGGGGGAGCAGAGTATAATTTCATTGCAACAATTGAATATTAAACACTAGAAACACTTTCATAACTGCTTGACTGATTATTACATTTATAACCTATCTTTTGTAACAGAAGCTCGAGGAAGCATGTATGCGCTTCCTGAAGCTCTTCCTATTTTTCCCCACAACTTTTTCAGGTAAATTACATTGAGAGACAGTGGCTGGTCCAAAGTCAGCTAGTGAGCTTTCATGGCTGTGCATGGACTAGAACCTAGGGCTCCCCATTCCTAGCCCAATAGCTTACCCAGTAATCTACACTAGATCTGTTTGATTGAACCTAGTTTATATAGGGAAGAGAACAATTTAGAACTTAAAAACAAGCAAAAACAAAACTCTGGGATCGGGCTATCTCAAGTTTTCCAAAATGCTAGAATTACTAGATATCATAATGTGAACATCAAATCATAACTTCCTTAATAGGTCTACTGTACCTATTTACCTCATCCCATGGATGAAGGAAGAGCAGGGATGTTATTCAAGGACTCTTAGACAGAGTTATAAGAGTGGCTCCCTACAGTCCTTTCAAAAACAACAGAGGAAAGAACCATCACATTAACTTTTTAGTGCTTTCAATTCATTCTCTAGCAATTGCCTGGACTAATTCCTGTATTTTTGTTGGCAAGATTTTCAGAAGCATTTTGCCATTGCCTGCTTCCTAGGGCTGAGAGAAAGTGACTGGCCTAAGATCACCTGGCTGGATTTGTGCCTAAGTTAGCACTAGAACTTACAGTCTCTCAGTTTCTATCCTGGAGTTTTAATCAATGGTGGGTTGCTACCAGTTTGCCCAGGTTCAGGGTGAACCCTTCTGACTCTTGCATACATACATACATTCATTCATTCATTCATTCATTCATTCATTCATTCATTCATTCATACATACATACATTCATTCATTCATTCATTCATTCATACATTCATTCATTCATACATACATACATACATACATACATTCATACATACATACATACACACACATACGTACGTACATACAGGATTTGAAATGGCGTCACCCACTGAAATGTGAAAAATCCATGGAAAGACAATCTACTGACCAGTTGTTTCTCTGTTCCAGCATTCTGTACTGTGGATGGAGCTGCCACGGACATAGAGAGCAAAGATGGCAGTGGCTGCCTGAAAGAGGCACACAGAGGTTCTTTGATAAGAACTCTCCTCCCATCTTCAATTGTTCTCTGGACATAAACAGCACCCTGAGGAGATAGGAAAATTAAATAACACCCCAGTCCTTATTCAGCTGCAGCAGGAAAGCATTTGCACAGAGAAAGGAATGCAAACTGTACAAATTACGTATTTCAGATCTGTCATATTCTGATCTCAAAATGTTCTTAAAGTGACAGAAGTTCTTTAATTACATTGTACACCAAATATCTATGCATAGCTTTGAACAACATTCATTCTCTGTTTTCATTTTCCAGAATGGAAACTGGAATTGTGATGCAGGAGCAAATGAACAGTCAACCATTGGAAAAAACAGCAGATTTTAGAACTACTTAGATATGGCAGCCTTCCCCAAACTAATATGCTTCTGATATCTGGCATGATAACTCCTATCAACTCCAGCCAGAATAACCATCTGACATGGACAGTCAAAAATCACAATTATACCTGACTTTGAGTAAAGGACTCTCTATTCTTCTCCTCTTCAGTGCCCCTGTCCTCTTTGGCTTTCCCAGGTGAGCAGGAATCACACCTCCATGTCCCACTGATGAGTGTTCCAGGGCAGAGACAGGTGAATAATCAAATATACAAAGGGAAAAAAAAGGAAAAATAAATTAACAAGCTTCTTAAATCTTATATGTAAACTGTTTCTTTCATGCAAGATAGTTACTGGCTGAAAATATTTTGCTTTTCTCCCTTAATCCACATTTTTTGAGGTAGTTCTCAGTTGAATCATATTCAGCACTACTATAAGGACAGCATTCTCCATTATATTTAAGAGAGTCTCACAATGCACATGGAATTATATCTATCAATATCTGCTGCTGCTGCTCTCTGTACACAATGCCTGCTGTTCATGCTGGCTATCAGATTCTGTCCATCTAGACCTTCCTCCTACACACATTGAGTTAGTGCTGCTCTCTTATCCTTAAAATGACACAAAACAGTGCATAAAATTGCTGTCCTGTCTTACTCTTTTACAGCGGTGGGGAGAAGTAGGTTGATTGTAAATATAAGGAAAATGACAGAAAAAGCTTATTTAGTTGCTTTCATTATTTTCTGGAGTGAAATAAGTGAGGATAGGGCAAAAGAGTCATATGTTGACATGGGCAACTATAGACACAAAATAAGTTCATAAAGTCAGAAATATATTTTAGAATATTTTTTCCAGCATAATTGCACAAAAATGTTTCTTCTTTTTGCCACATAAAATAGTGGAACAGTGTTTTCCTCTTCTCTTCCCATGGTGGATGCCCAAAGAAAAGTTTATGTCAGAAGCAGGGAGAAACAGGAAGAAAGGGGATAATGAATGTGAAAGAAATCAAGATGCTAATGGAAATGGCAAATCCTGGGAGAAAATGGCTGCAGCAGAGGCTGGGAGATCATGGCTAGACTTCCCAACATTTCCTAAACACACCTCTGATCTCATATACAGCAGGCCAGCGGATCTAATCTCCAACACAAGCATGAGTAAATGTACAGATTTTATACTTCTTGAAGCCATGATGCAATAGCACTGACTTAAGCAGAAAAATATCACTTTAAAACTGTTACGCTTATTATGATCTCAAGCTGTTCCATTCATGGCCTGGAGATAAGCAAGGGCAGCATCATGAAGATAATGAGTGAATATTGATGTTTCTAGAGCATAACTGGAAGACAGTTATTGAAGCAGACCCAATGCAGTAATGAAAGAAGCATATCCAAATGGCAGGTTTTAGCAAATAAATAAATCTATCAGGACATTAACCACTACTTCTTCTAAAAATTTAAACGGTTCAAGGGCATTATCTCTGTACCTGATGCTTTACCACTTGACAGCTGATCAGTAGCCTATCATTTTTCACGTCTAATAGTATTTGTTCCTTATTCTTGGTTTACAAATGGTTCTGTCATTCAATAATCCTGTTTGTAAATAGTCCAATCTCTTTACAAACCTTTATAACATTTATTTGTTTCTATTAGATTTCTCTCATTATTATTGTTCAGCAGTTCTACCTTAACTGTATATTTTCTTGCAATATTTCTGATTTTTTAATAAAATATTTCATTTCCTTATCCATGGAGATTCTCAATCATCCAGGTCATGGCTGTTCCAAAGGTGCTTTTTCCAAAAGGCAACTGGACTTTCTTGGTTTTTGTCTGAAAACATTTCGCTTCTCATCTATGAAGCTTCTTGGATGAGAAAAAAACCAAGAAAGTCCAGTTGTCTTTTGGAAAAAAACACCTTTTGGATATCTCATTTTCTTTTTCTTGATATTTTCTTCTTTGTTGATTCTCTTGATTGAGGTATCTTCCTATGTCCGGTACATAGGCAATATTTAAATCTACATTAAATTGTCACAGGTAACACAGGTGACATAGGTCACACAAGCAGTCCAGAAGTATACCTCATCCATATTGTAACATTCCTCCAGTTAAAGCACACTATGTATGCCTGCAAACCTGCACAATAAAGATCAGAGTAGTTAAAGCAATGCCTTTCCCAATGGCAATGTTTAGCTGAAAAACTGAAAAAGAACAACTGCAATAAAACAGATATCTTCAAATTATGGATTTGAAATGTGATCTGCAAAAAACAACCCACAGTAAATTGTTCCTGAAAAAATAAAGAACGGCTACTGCAATGAAGTTATGTAAACAGACACTCAGGTACTTGAGCTTGTGATGTCAGTAGATAATGGATTGGAATGCCTGGCAAGTTAAGCAAAGTGAAAGAAAGGAAGACAATGGATAAGGTGGTTAGATGCGACCAAGGCTATCAGTGGGATATTCCTGTAAGAAGTGCCAATTTTCCTCAAAGTGCCAGTGAGGTCAGATTGAGATGGAAAATATTTTTACAGATCTCAGAAGTTATGTCTGACGTGAATATACCTTAGATATAAACAATGTACATAGCTATATCTAATAATAATTCGCCATGGGCGAATAGGTGGCAAAATAAATAAATAAATAAATAAATAAACAAACAAACAAACAAACAAACAAATAAATAAATAAATAATAAAATGTCTGTCCGTCTATCTATCTATCTATCTATCTATCTATCTATCTATCTATCTATCTATCTTTTTCACAATTATTCTTTATATTTTACTTTGAGAAGGTATTGATAACTGTAATTTTTAAATTATAACCCAGATGTTTGTCATCTTTTATTTGTGTAATAATAAAAACCAAAGCCCTTCTATAGCCTGCACCCTAAAATTAATTACAAAACTCAGTGAGAACATGCTACATAAGATTACAAAACTATGTTAAGAAACTAATTGTAAAGGCTACAAAGAACCATAATCACACAAGAAAATAAATGGCTGTAAATCTGTACCTAAGGCTATATTCAGTTTTAGATGGATAAAAGTTGTTTTTACCTTGGAATTTCTGTCAATGGTGGTATAAGGCAACCAAGATGAAAGGCCTTAGGGCATCCATCACAACAGATCAGCTCTCCACCATCCCTACAGATGGCACATTCATCATCGTTCTTCTGGCCAGCAAAATTGTGGAATGATTAAAACAAAAGAACATTACAATTTGAACCAATTTCTTTCCATACGGCTGAGGTTGCTTTTGCCGAACTTATTAAATCACCAGACCCTTGTTAAAATTATTATTTCTCAGTTTATTTTGACCAGTAGCCTATTTTAAAGATCTTCAAGATCCATAAAGACATATTTACTACTAGGCTTACAGTCTTCCAGAAGATCAGTATACCAATGTACTGTGTATAAATCCCTATATAATGCCTGATGTTTTGTAAAGTCTGGGTCAGATATTACAGAAATCAGGTGTCCAGTTTCTTTTGTAACCCAAGCCAAAGCAGCCATGGAGGGCAGTGAATATTGACCAAATGGCAAGGGCATCCTCAGCAAGCCAACAGAAGCTTACCAGATGCAAACTCTTGACAGCAGCAGCATTAAGATCATGAATAAGATGTCATAATCTCATTCATACTTTAAGACTTGTGGGAGAAGATGGAGAATACTGTTTTAAAACTGGAATGACTAAGGACAAATTTAGGTTCCCTCCACCCTGGATTGGGAGTGAGACAAAAACTACACTGTGAAGACATACCCTGTAAAAACAGGGAGGTATCTCCAAGCATAGTTAACATACAGAGCCCTGAATCTCTGCAAACCTTGCTGATTATCTCTATTCAGGGAGAAGCGTAAACCTAAAAATAATTCAGGTGAGAAAGAGGGTAATTATATGCTTTGAAATACTTGGGGAATTCCATCTTGATAGAAATGGCATATCATCTAAGAAGGAAAAAAAATACATCATAGCCAAACCCACATCTTTGAACCTGACACCAGTTTAAGTAGATAAAGAAAACTGGGACTTCCCACTCTGATGGATTCAGCAAGTTAGACATTAGGTATATACTAGAGATTAGGAAAAAGCTAGACTATTAACTATTAGTAACACATAGGAGAACTCCCATCATGCCCCCCTTGTTCCTATCACAAGAAAGTTTATGGAAATTTTTCATTTATATTAGAATATTGTCATATATACATAGTCCATGACTTACGACCATAAGGGAGCCCAGAATTTCAATTGTAAGTCATCAATGTCATAATCCAAGGCATTCACATGATCGGACCCAATTTTATGACTTTTTTTTTGCCGCAGTCGTTAAGCAAATGCCATGATCGTTAAATGAATCAACATATTCCTATGGGCATTTTTTGCCAGAAATCAGTAAAAAAACCAGAAATCTGCAAAAAAATAATAATCATAAATCACAGTCATATGACCATGGATTGCTGCGACTGGCTCTAAAGTTGAGCCAGTTGCCAAACCCTGAAATGTGATCATGGGACTGCAGGAGGTTGTGTGGCTGTCAGAACTCCAGAATTGGGTCATAAGTCATGGTGGGGTTTCCATTGTAACTTTGAATGGCTGCTAGGTGACTGGTTGTAAGTTGAGGACTACCTATACAGTAAAGGATTAGTCTAAGCAGCAGTTTTCCAACAAAAATGTCTACAGGTTCTTTCTACAATCTCACCTCTCTTATTTACCTCAGCAAGATATAGAATGTGATGTATTGCCATATTAGATGGAACAATTATAGAAATTGTATGAGATTGTTTTCCACTTTTTAGAGAATGCTAGAGACTTTTTTTAATGTCAATTGTACAGCTTACATTGCAGTTTCATGAGATCTCTGGCTTAAATCTTGAGAAATTGTGCTTTTAATAATTTAGTAAGTTTTAGTAATAGTGATTGGCAAGACTCAGTGAGGCAGCAAGAAAGAGTACATAGGCTGCACACATACAAAAGCCATTACTTGTTCCTTTGCTTTAAAATAATACATCCAAATCCTACACACACTTTCCTACAAATTTGTAAGGTAAACAATGCAGTATCAAGCACAAGTATCTGTCTCTTGCATGTGGAACCAGTATGAAAATCTTTTTCTTGCTGTTGTTCACCTACTGAATAGTCTTGTTCACATATTCACGTTCAGCTGCTAGTTTTGCAATATAGATTGGCAGATGCATGCAACACTTGTTGAAAAGTACTTTGCTATTGGTGCTATATAAATAAGACTAATTGAAGCTCTTGGATTTCCTATTTTTCTTCACGGATGAAGACTCTGTGTGGTCACCATAACCTTGCCATAATGAGACTGACTCTAAACAGAGAAACCACTCCAACATAGATTACTTTTTACTACTAAAGATCCAAAGAGAATAAGAATTGATAATAGTATATAATTATACATATTCAGAAACCTGGGGTTCTTTGTTATTCGTGCTGGGCTTCTTTTCATAAGCTTTATTTTCTCCAAGTTCTTCCGATGTGCTTGATGTATAACATTCATCCCCAACTTTAACAAATTTCTTAGCATTGCCTGGAAAAAGACATATTTGACATCTTTGGAACTGTGTCTTTCCTATGAGATAATTTAACCTTAGCTGCAACTGGAATATTAAACCAAATTAACCTTTTCAAACAATGTAATATAAAGTATATTTATCTTTTTTGTATGTGCCCAGAGTGTAAAATAAGTTAGCTTTGATATAGATTTTACAACAAAGCAAGAAAGAAGTTTAACACAATATGATGAATATCGTTGTGCCATTAAGTGTTACTAAAGTAGAATGAAGCACTTTGAAAGAGCTGAGTTTGATTCTTGACTGGTGTAGATTCCCACCTTTATACCTCAGATCCCCATATGCAAAAATGAGATCTACTTAAATACCATTTTAAAATGCTATTATAACAAATGATCAAGTTAACGTTCCCTTGGAAATTCTTCATCTTGACATTGAAATTGTTTTTGTTTGAAGACTTTTTTTCTGTTAACATACTGTTCAAAAGAAATAATCAACAAGCCAAAAAGGGAACAAATAGACCAAAACATCTCCATACCAGCAATCAACACCCAGATGTGCATAGATTAACACCAAGATTAACATTGGACCAACAATTAAGAAATGACAATATCTCAGTCACGAAACTGCCAAACAAACTAATAGTAAACAGCCCAACCAAAGAACTTCCAAGACCACTTCCACCAACACCAACACCAACAGGGCAAACCACTAGAATATAAATTGAGACCAAACCCCATTCCATACTAGCGCTGATGATGTCACCCAGAGGTAGGTTTCAGCAGGTTGTGGGAGAACCAGTAGCGGAAATTTTGAGTAGTTTGGAGAATTGGTAAATACGACCTCTGACTGGCCCCGCCCCCATCTATTCTCTGCCTCCTGAATCCAAGCGATCGCGAGGAAATGGGGATTTTGTAGCAACCTTCCCCTGGAGTGGAGACGGAATGGATATTTTATAGTATCCTTCCCCTGCCACGCCCACCAAACCATGCCCACCAAGCCATGCCACACCCACCAAGCCACACACACAGAACCGGTAGTAAAAAAAATTGAGACCCACCACTGATGTCACCTAGTTTGGGTAATAAAACATCTGCAAAAAAAACAACCAAGCTCAGGGAGAACCAATGACCTCTAATTTCAACATTGAAATATTCTCCTTATCAGTTTATTCTATCAGTCATGTTTGATTCTTGGACACTGTCTGAAAAAGTCCCTTCAATTTTCTTGGCAAGATTTTTCAGAAGTGGTTTGTCATTGCCTTCTTTTGAGGGCAAAGCCAAGGTCACCCAGCTGCTTTTGTGCCTAAGGTGGGACTAGAAATACTCTCCCAGTTTCTAGCTTGATGGCATAGCCATTACATTAAGCTGGTTCCTTGAAGAGAATAGTTAGCAATTAGAATGTTCTTTAAATTGGATAGGAGAATTGTGGAGAGATGGCTGCAGATAATATTGAACTAATGATCTGATTTTTCTTATTTGAATCTTATAATTAATCAGTTTTCTTACATGCAAAGAGTAGACTTAAATGAAATCATCAAAAGGCAGCTTAGATCAACTGCTACAATGAGAAGTTGATTCAGCAAAAGTTACTGAGTAGCCTTTCATGACATTTTTTTCGACCTAGTGTAATATATAGGCCCCCTGGCTAAACAAATAATTTGTATGCTGAATAATACCTTAGCCATTCAGAATTCTAATGACTTGGGATCATATCTGAGTGAGCATACATCAAGGAATAGTATTAAGATAATGTTGGATAGATTAGTCAAAGACTAGCAACTAAGGACTTCAAAATTAAATCTAAAACTTGACCAAGTCATGCGATATTTCATTGACAAGACTCCAAACAAAGATGTCAAATTATTGTGAAATTCCTTGTTCCTTTTTGAGATCTCAGGGAGACATTTTAAAATCTAATGAGATCTGATAATGAAACAAGATTGTGCATGGTTTTAAATTTTATTTTGATTGGTAGATTATTTCACAGAAGTAGCCGAACAGTTTGGATTAGCATATTCAACAAGTATAGCAAAGTGATAAACTTACCACTTGGAAGAGGGTATTGTTGTACCTCAGCATTTTCTGATTTCTTCACTGTTTTTGTTTTAGGAAGGGACCCTGTTGATTTATAAGACAGTTTGCAATACTGAAAGCAGACATTGTCTTTTTTTTTTTGCAAAATGCACAATACAGGTAGTTCTAAACTTACAACTACAATTGAGCCCCAAATTTCTGTTGCTAAGCAAAGCAGTTGTTAAGTGAGTTTTGCTCCATTTCACGACCTTTTTCTCCATAGTTGTTAAATAAATCACTGCAGTTGTTAAGTGAACCATGCGGTCATTAAGCAAACATGGCTTCCTCCATTGACTTTGCCTGTTGGAAGCCTGCTGGGAAAGTTACAAATGGTGATCACATGATGCTAGCACAGTGCAACTATCATAAATACATACCAGTTGCCAAGTGCCTGAATTTTGATCAGATGACTGTGAGGATGTTGCAACAATCTTAAGTGTGAAAAAAGTTGTAAGCCACTTTTTCCAGTGCCATTGCAAATTTGGTCACTAAACAAATAGTTGTAAGTCGAGGACTATCTGTAACAATTAATCTTATTGTATGTTATTTATTAGGATAATAGTATGAACTATACTTTTCTCAGAAGCTTGAGAGCCATTAGTAAAGAAAATAAACTGTAAAAAAAAGTTTAACTCCAATTGCATGTTGTCTTTAATTTTATAAAAAGAGAAAAATGCAGTATGATGTCATTAAGTGCTGTTAAGTAGCACTTAGCTGCCAGCTGTCTGCAATTACTGTGAGTTCAAATCTCACCAGGCTCAAGCCTTCCATCCTTCCGAGATAGGTAAAATGAGGACCCGGATTGTGGGGGAAATAAGCTGACTTTGTATAAAAAAGAACACCGCTTGTGGGGGGGCGAAAGCCCTACTAAGCAGGTATATATAAAAGTATGAAGGCTATTGCTTAACGCATTGTAAGCCGCCCTAAGTCTTTAGAGAAGGGCGGCATATAAATTGAACCAATAAATAAATAAATAAATTACAATGGATTCCTCTTCTGAGATGCTTAAGTTTTGGGGAGGGGTTTCCTTTTTTCTTTAACCTCATTCTTTTCATATTTTAGTTAAACTGCAATATCCCACAAGATACAGTAAAAACACAGTAAATAATTCTATACCAAAGTGCAGATCAATTTTCCCTGAAGGCTGAGTTAATTGCAAAGGGTCTTCTATCTTTCTCTTTCCTTGTGATTTGTGCTGAGTCACAGTCTTTGGACTAATGGCAACTTTCTTTGTTTTGCGATGCTTGCCGAAATCCATATCTGAAAACAAGGAGAAATACTGAGACTGACTGAGATTCTTGCCTACAATTGTGGAAATTTATCTCCAACCACATTGAAGGTGACTTCTTCCTTAGCAAAGACAGATACAAGCCACAAGATAGATCTTCTAAATGTGCTACCATGATTAACTCACATTTTCATCATTGTATCAAGTGGCTGGCTTTAATTAAACTTGAATTTTAGCTTGTACTTAAATCATTTTTTTATATGCTAGGCATGTCCCAAATACACTACTTTTAGTATGAACCACATTCAGCCAATTAGATACAACTTGGGTTACTCCCATAATTCCCAATTTCTATACTACCTATTATTCACAACTTCTCACTGTCTCCTATAAATTTCATTTTAAGGCCATAATGACATATTATACCTTTAGGAAAGCTGCTCCAAATGGACTGAAGCTTGGAATACCTCTCCAAGTTGTACTCTTTGAAAAGGACTCTCCAGAAATCTTCTATGGAAGATAAATCCTGATTTAGCAACCATGTCAACATAGTATAAAAAGCCCTGTGGCAACCTTCAGTTTCCTTCAGGTGGAGAGTGTCCTTCAAGACAAAGAGAGGAAAAATGCAAAATTGACCTATTTCTCAAATATATTTTATTCCTTCAAAATGCTTAACATGCAGTATATATTATTTGTTGTAGTCCATCTTCTTGAGTAGAAGCTAATTAGGGATGGTAATAGTCTCAACATCTGAATATTCTATTTTATAAACAAAGAGTAAGAGATAATTTTGATGCAATTTATCTCATTTGCACATCACAAACTAAGACACAAAATTAAATTTTGATGATTTCTGAATTTTGCAGTATAATTTAAACCTGGCCTTAAAGTGTATATATTTTTAGGATGACTTTAACTTTAATATACGGTATATTAGATGTTTTATACATCTATGGTATTTAGATGTACAAAAAGCTCCCCAAAGTCGCTTCGAAATAAGATGAACAGCAAATAAATTAAATAAATAAAAAGAGATTTAGTACACAGAAAAGTTCATGCAAAAGGAATGTATATTGGAGAGAAAATCCAACAATATAATGTAATAAATAGAACATAATAATAATGAATACAGTATTTATAAATTTAAGCAGTTATTTGCAATAAGCAAAGAAAGGGTTAAAATGAAATTTATTTTGGAAAAAAACTAGAAACTGAGGAAAATTGAATGCGAGCTTTTTGGAATTATAAGTAGTTTGGAAAGTGCTTTAGAAATTGAAGCAAAAGGCTAATACTGTAATACTAAAAGAGTGGGAAAAAGTTACCAGTACCCTCAGATTACTCTCTACCTAAACTAATGTCTTTAGACAGGCATTTCTTTGTAGTCATTTGCAGTTATTTCAAACTATATCCATAAACTTTGGCATATAAATTGGGGGACAACACTTTCATTCATACTTTGATACTAAAAGTTAATACCCAGGATATACAGTTTCAAACTCTGTTGATTTTTCACCCTACCAGCCCAAATAAAAGTTTATACAAAGTAGTCTGAAAAACCATCACATTCCAATAATTTGCACAGAATGAAAGAGAAAATGCAGTAATGAAAAATAAAAACACCAAAGTTAAAAAGTGATAGATCAGCAAAAGCATAGCTGAATATGAGCTATATATAATATTGTATAAAATAAAACAGCAAATATGCAAATTATTGTAACACATTAAATGAATGGCTTAAAAGAAATGGATATATTCCAATATTATGGACTGAAGAGCTACATAGTACCCAGATTTTTTCCCCTCTCACCTTGAACATCTCTTCAGTGACAATTTCATGATCAGCAAGCCCATGAAGTAATGGGAAGACATCATCGACTGCCATCGAAATCTCTGTGCGATAAATCTTCAGTAATTTTCTCAAATCTCCTTCCCCTAATGCTCTATTGGAATTGAACATCCTGGAACAGAAACATGTACAAAAGGAGTAAACTAATCTTCCAAGTTTATCTTTGGATCAACTTTGCAGGAATCAAACCTTATTAAAAATGTCTGGAGATAATTTAAACTCCAGTTTTGAGGTAAGATATTCTGAAAGATCATTATTATTTTATGAACCTTTCTGCCAACCACGCTGGCTTTGGAACATTTAGACTTGCAAACATAGTTTGCAAAAAGATGATGCTTCTGTCTATAATTGGTCTTTTCCAATGACTCCTTGGTTGTTGTTTTTCATTTCTTTCAATATTTCTAAGTATTCAGCTTTGACATGCTTAGCCAGCTGTCCTAATAATCAAGAGATACCACATTGTTGATCTCACCTCCTAAACGGTAATCAACACAATATCTGCTTTTTGTAGTTCCTTGTGCTCTTTATATTGTTCCATCTTGAAATAAGGATAGAGGAGGGTGGAGGTGGTATGTGAAACGAAGAGCAACAAAATTTGATTGAAGATACAAACAGAAACTCAGTAATAACACTCTGATGAATCTGAGAAATAAAAGCTCTCTCCAGTAAAGCCTATTTAGACTGCTTTATTATTTGAAATATCGTGTTTCTTTCAGTGTTTCACTCCACCCTGTGCCATCTGCATACATTGTGTATTACCTTTCTTGATTGGAAAATGAGAAGGTTATACTGTGGATGGGGAAGTGCTGGGTCCCCACCCCACCCTACCCTGGTCCCTTACAGTTTTGATAAGGCTCCATAACTTGCATGAGAGACTTGCCAATTAAATTTTTTATGTTGCAAAGATATGACTATAATCAGGAATATAATAATATTGAGCTCCTATATCCATGTTGTTTGAGAAGTTATTGTCATAATTTAATTAAAATACAAATATAGGAGGGCAGGTCAAGAGCAGTCAGAGCCTAGGGCAATCTTCTTTAGTCTGTGATTTCCATACAGAATTTGAATTCTGGAGTTGCAGACCTCACACATTTGAAGGACCAGAATAAGGAGTCAGTATAGGGAGAATATAATTAAATGGAAATTGGCCTAGTAGTTATAAACCACCATCAAGTGGTTTATAACCCAAATGAAGATGAAGTTGTCAGTACCGGTATATAGATAGATGTTGGCAGATGATCAGCAATATTTGGAGATTTAAATATCTTTATAGATGCCAATTAAAAACTTGTGATTGAACATTATGGCTTTACAGAAAGCTAAATCCCTGTCTCTTTGGCAGTTTTTCAGCACCAAATGATGTTTTATTTCAGCTGACTTGGAAAAAATGTTTTGCTCAAGGAAGGAAGGAAAAAGAGAAGCTAGACTTTTCAGAACTTTTCTATACTGTTTTAAGTAATGTCGTTAAAGCAATTTAATAATAATGTAACGTTAAAGTTTTTTTGTTATAGTAATAAAATGTCGTTAAAGCTATTTGTTAATAATAAAATCCTAGGATGATCTGTGCATTAACTCATTTTTCAGAATTTCAATGGACTTCCTAGAATTTTAGAGTTTTAGAAAACCTAATACTACTCTATTGTTTCAGTCCATGAAAATCAGGCGACAGTTAAAAGCTGTGAGTAGTGTTCTTATATATGGTAATTCTGTGAGAATTGGATCAGAAACTGCATTTCATGCAAAATAAATATACCATTACTCCCAAGTATGTAATTGGTTTCAAAGCACTTTAAATTATTCTTGACAAAATTTGTGGACTTTCCATGGTATTTAATCATTATATCTTAACTAAAATGAAGCTAGGAAAAGCCCACAATAATGATCACCAAAGAAATAAAAGTATACAACTCAAATCATCCTGTGATTTGCTGATGTATTTTTTTAGATCCACAAATGTCCATTCTATTTTAGAAAAACTAACTTGGATAATTTTTAGAACTGTGCATACTTACATGAGTATGTTTGTGGCATTGTACCTCACCCAAATTCATTAATGAAGTGGGAACTGCAAGAAACAGAAGTATGTACTATATTAGAATTTCAAGTAAAATTAAAAATTCAGGTGAAATTGGCACTGGGAAAGATTTACCTGAAAGCATTGAGGGCTGTTGCTAGTTAAGGATTGAATTCATTCATGATGCTTATCTATATTGCTCATCTGATTTATGTAATTCCATTCACTATGTATAAACCATGATTGACTTGATGCTACACAGGAGCAGGGGCCAACATTTCTTACACATATTGAATTACAATTCCCGTAATCCTGATAGCATGTGAATTATTGGCTTTATTATGCAATATACAAAAATGGGAGAACTGTTATAAAAAATGCTGTTAAAACAATCAAGTGTCTGCTTAAAGACAAGGCAATTTTGTATGAAGAATTTGGAAAAATAGTTGAGACGATCATATAAATGTAAGGAAAGATGACAAATGAGGGCTTGGAATCCTCCTGGGTGGACAAAATCAAACCCCACCCTTCATTTTTGCATAAAAAAGTGCTCCTAACAAAATTGCTGTGAGCGAAATGGGCAGTTTCTAAATATATGTAAATCTAAATAAATAAAATTTAACAGGTTTCGAAGAAGTTTCAGCACTTAATCCATTTTATTCCTATAGTTCAGAACAAGCTAATAAACAAATGTATTTTTCATCAAAATAAAGCTTTGCCATCATTTCTAGGAACTGTTAGCAAAGAACTAGAAAAATAAAGTCAAAATACTGTCATCCATCACTTCCAAAGTGTAAAGATTGCACTATAATTAATAATGGTATATTGAGTTGTATACGATATGAATGGGATGTTTTATGTAAGCCCAAAATTTTATTCTCCTTATGCAGCATTGTGTATCTGGTAACCCTTTCTTTGGTGATCACCAGGCTCCATTATTTCGTTACTTTTTAATAAAGCTAAATGATAAACTGATTTATTACAAATATAAGCCTTAAGCTTATTTTCAAAACTGCCACATTAAATGAGACTACAACCAAGTGCTATGAAGTATGCATATGTACCCCCAAAAAACTAAAGGCAAGCTAAGATAGCAAAGGACATCTCAAGGGTTATAGGGAATGGTAGTGATGGTGGGAAGTAAATCTCATATATATTCTGTAAAAGTACTTTTAGCATCTCAGAAGTGCAAATATGGTCCAAGCAAGTTAGCATTAGTGCTTTATTGAATAATCTGAATGTGCATATTTAGAAAAATATGGACAGGTGCAAGCATATTTTGGACAGAGCTCCTGTTCCCAAAAGCTGGACTTATTTTGTGTCAGCTGCAGATTTTGACTATATGCTGGAATGATTCAGCTGCTAATCAATGATGTGAACTTGGTATCAAAGATTATTCATATTTGCAATCGCAATTGGTTAGCAATTTCTGACCGGAAATTTGCATGGAATTTTAACTTGATTGATATGACCATGTGTGATATATTAGAAACTGCCTTGTGAAGAAAGATTCTATTCATTCAGGCCAAGTATCAAACTTCTGATTCTATTTCCATATAATGACAAAGAAGTAGGATTAAGAGGCAGTCCTTCTAAGTAGTTATGGTTAGGGTCCCCTCAAAGGTAGGATTGGTTCCACCCAATTACTATTTCAATGAGCTTTAGACATCAATTATTATTATGCAGTGCAACAGTAGATTACAGAGACTGTTGTATCATAAGCATTTATTTTCTTCTTCCAGGATGCATGATGAATGCTTTCTATAATATCAGACCTAAAACAGGAAACAGCAGCAGTCAGAGATGTTTATTCACATGACAGAATCAGTATTAGAAACAGATTTGCTAGTTAGAAATCAAAACAATAAAAGGAAAAACTGCAAAGGTTTGAGAAAGAATAAAATTGTGTTCAATCTCGTGTTTCAGCTTCAAAAAATTGACAAATGGAACAGATGCATCTTCCAATTAAAGTTAGATCAGGGAGATGCTGGTCCTGTTAATATTCATAAAGGCCACAAAGCTTTAATATATTGATGAAAAGCATAGCAGACAATCAGAACGCTGCTTTTAAGCAATTTTATTCTTGGCCAGAAAAAAAACTTCACTCAGTTTATAAAACAATTAAAACTGTTAATTGAGAGCCTTCTTACATTTCAATGAAAACTGTCTTAGTCATGCAATTGATTATTCTGTAGCTGATCACGGTACCGCTCAAGTAAGCTTAATACAGACAAAGTTAACATACTTGATCATCTTCCTTTAGCTGTAAAAGGTAGATATAAAGGAATTAACCTAGGAGCTATACATTTCCCATTCTCAAGATTTCATTCTCAGAATTTCCATTATTCTAAAAAAAATTTACTACATCCTATATAAAACATAGCAAGTGATTTAGTTTGTATATTCCTTAATCTTCAGGACTTTCAAAGAAAAAATAAGGCCCATGAGTCATTTCCCCCATTTACTGTACTAAGCTTCTTAACTAAATCTAATTTTCTGTTTTCTTCTCCATAAGAATCAGAGTCAAAGATTATCTGACTCTAGTCTGAACCAGAATCTGGTCAGAGATACTGGTCAGAACCAGAATCAGAGATTATCAGGTGAAGGTGAATGGTGGGAAATTCAAGAAGCTATTCCACATTATACACCACTTAATTTAATCATATAGATTCATTTTTATAAAACAAGTAACTTTTTAGATGATTTTAAAGGAGGATTCAAAACATTCTTGGAAGTATCAGAATACGAATAATTAGAAGTTATATGGCTCTAAATACCAGAATTTAGAGTAAAGCTTCATTCCTAAGGACTATATAGTTTTCTAGGCAGGTTTGCCATTGCCATTTTTCAGGATATGTTTATGCCTCTGAATTCCAGTATCTAAAGAACAATTGTAATAGGAGTTATTATCAACATACAGCACCTTATTTGGAGGCTTCCCAGAGGCACAGAGTTAACCAATATGCTTAATTCCAACACTGCTTTTCTTATTTTTTTGTTGCTAGTTTAGCATTCAAATTGATATTTTCCTTACAAAACAATTACATAATTAAAACCAGTTTGGACTCGCTTAGTCATATATTCACTTGTACTGTGTGTACTGTTTATTTTAGTAGTTACGTTGTTATAGGGGAATACATGGAAAATATAATGCTAAAAATACAGAAAAAAGCTTTTAGATGTGAAACAAAAATATGTAATAGCAATAGCAATAGCACTTAGACATGTATCACTCCATGGTGCTAGAAGAGAACTCTCTGAGCCGTTTACAAATATCAGCATATTGCCCCCAACAATCTGGGTCCTCATTTTACCGACCTCGGAAGGATGGAAGGCTGAGTCAACCTTGAGCTGGTCAGGTCTGAACTCCTGGCTGATGGCAGCGTTAGCCTGCAATACAGCATTCTAATCACTGTGCCACCACAGCTCTTGAAATGTAAATTACCTAATTTATGCAGAATTATTCTTAAAATATTACTGAATTCATTTGCTGCCTATCTTGCCATGGGACTACTCTAGAATTATAAGGTAAAAATTTGAAATTATTTTAAGTTTTAAATCTTTAAAGAATCAACTTACAAAGTCAGTTGGTATGACTAAGTAGCTAGATATTTCTGTTGTTGCAAACATCAGTTTACACATTCAAAATTGTCTGAGACTTTTTTTTTAACCTTTAGGCAAGTTCACCTTATGTTATCATATTGTGTTTTACACATCTTCCCGTTACTTTTAACTACAGTTTTTTTTTTTTACATAATTACCAACAATAATTGCCAAGAATTCAGAAAAATGAAAGCTGTCACCAGCACACTGGTATCTAAAGCCATTGTTTAAAATTCCTGTTTTCTTCCAATAAGCTATCAAATTATCTACAAGAACTGGTTTGCCAAAGTGTAGGGTTTCTTAGCAACTACTTATCTACTAGGTCAAATAAGCAATCCATTACTTTTTGTGCAAATACCTAAAACCATTTGAATCTCAGTGTATCAACTGCAAGTTATATATACTACATCTCTTAGAGCCAGACAGGTTTTTGTTTTCTTTTTCCCCTAGAAAATAACAGCACTTTCTGAATCACTGGGACCAATTATTATTTTTCCTTAAGGGACAGAGTTTTAGTTGTCATGGTTTGAGTTTGCAGTTTATTGTGATCCACGATATTCCAATGTTACACACAGACTATGAATTCTGTTCCTTTCAATAGCCATGTATAGCTTCTTAGGTTAATAAATTGGATATGGTCTTCCAATCTCCAGAGATGCAGAGCTGGAATACAACATATTATTTAATTAATTTATTCTTCATTTTTTTTCTTTCTCAGACCTCCATATTATGTTTTTAGTATGCCTGGTCTGATTCAAATGCTGTACATAACGGATAAAGCATTATCTTCCTAAGCAGTTTGTTGAAATACATACATTATTCTCATGGAATGTAACCTGTTCATGTCTACTTTATTTTTTTCAGCTTATAAACACTGGAGCTTCAGATTCTTTTGCAAATGTTATAGTTTTTTCATAACTAATATTTTTTCTTTGTGAATATATTGCTATAAAACTAAATGGCTATTATCTTAACCTTTTCCATGGACTATTTTTTACCAATCCTTTTGGTGCTGCTGTTGCACAATAATGGAGCCCAACATAATTATCTACACCAACTCCCAAATAATCTGGGTACTTTTAAGATCTAAGTTAATTCCTCCAGAGAGTTCAGATATCAAACTAGCAGTTCTTGTATTTGTCAAAAGTCTCATAGAATCCTGGTCTGACTTTTCTGATATTCATACGTAGATGCTGATTTTCAGAAGGAACTGATTCATTGTAAGTGGTTGAAGTTGCTGTCCCAGTTACCCAACAAGACGACAGACGCTTTCTTTTTGCTTTATCTGAAAACCCTCCAATTCCCTTGTTGTATTCAAGACAGGAGTCATCTTTATTCTTATTAACATCTTCAACTGGCTGCTCATCCCTATTTGAAGTAATTTCTTTCCGCTTACGAGCTTCTTTCTCTTCCTCTGCAATTTTCCTAAAATGCTCTAATGACTCAACCTTTCTCCGTCTTTCTATTGTTTCCATTTGTTTTTTGTCCACAAAGTCCTCAAAGTACATTTTTCTCTCATTCCTCTGATCTTCAAGGAATTTCCATTCAGTATCTGTCATCTTAACACCACTGCACTGCTCCAATTTCTCTCGTGTAACAGTGTCTGTACAAAATATATCAAAAAGCTGTTCTGAACTCCTATTGAAGTCATCTGCTTTCTGAATAAACAGTTCATTTTTTCTTCGCTTTCTGGATTGGTATAACTTTGAGAATTCTTCATATACTTTCAGAATATGCTTTTTTATGCTCTGTGTTGCTATGGTATATAGATTGCAAAACAACCAGTGTTCCTGCAAAAGTTCAGCAAGCAATTGGGCAGCATCTTCTTTGGATCGTTGTGCTTGTCCAGCCCTTTTTGGATGCAACAAATACAACATGTTTTGAATGACATCCTTCTTAGTAGGCAGAATTCCTTGTGCAAATTCAGATGATTCTACATAATCAACAGTTCCCAGAGTCTTTTTTGCTTTTATTTTATCCAAAGCTGCCATAATTCCTGTTTAAAGTCACTCTATATCAAAAGCTGAAAAAGAAGGGAGATGTTAGCTGAAATAACACCAACAATGAAAATGAGAATTCGAATTCAAAAATGCTATATAAGTAGTTCTAAGCAAAGCAGTCATCAAGTGGGAAATCACAAACCATGCTTTCCAGCTGGAAGAGACAAGACTACTCAGTTTCACACCTTTAGCTTTCCTTTGCCTTACCACTCCCCCACTCTTTGGAATGCTTAAGTGTCCACCTACTGTCAAAAGCAATGCAATCACACTGGCAGCCTAAGACTGAGAGTTGCAGGCAAGCTACATGGTTTACAGTACTCTTGAAATCTCTTCCTCCTCCAACCTCTCCACTCTGCTAAGGGGGGCGGGGGGGGGGGGAAGAGAAAAAAAAGGCTTTTATTTGACCCTTTCCTGCTGCCAGCATGATTACATTGCTTTTGATGTGTAAATGAATAAGCAGCTTACTGTTTCATTAAACTGAATAAAACGTTAGTATATTATTTTATTTACTGAAATAATTCTATTTTCAACTACCTCTATTGACAGAGATAACTATTTTTTCCCAAACAATACAGATTTATAAAACAATGTTTATGCAACAAAGTAATTTATTTTGTTAAATTTATATCCTGCCCATATCACTGTTACAACACTCAGGAATATAACCTAAAAGACAAATAAAAGCAACAAAGCCATGTCATCGCCATCTCTAGATTAAGTTGCATTATGTTTTACAGGATCTGTCTTTTAAAATTGTTCTGAAGCTACAGTTGGACCAAAATGCCTATTTGTCCGCAGGTGAAAGATACTTGTCATACATAATACTAGAATCCACACTGATTCCAAATGGCAACTCACAGGCAAATTCAAAATGAATTAAAGCCCAACTTCATTTTAGCATCCAATAAAATCTGGGAGACTAGGCATGAACCTATCACATATGCAGTGTCATCTGGCAGGGTCTAGGAAGCATGCCTTTTCTACTTTCATGCCTGCTGAGATTTAGATACCGTGCAGTCTTGTTCCTGGCCTTGTTCTTTAAAGGCTCTTAAGACTTCACTTTTCCCACAGGAACTGGCCAGAAGGTTTTATTACCATCTTGACTATTTTTAAATTATTTTTGATTCAATGAAGTTGTCTCTGTATGTTATTATATTGTAAAATTTTGCAGTTGTGTACTATGCCCTAATTCACATGACAACTGGATGCCTATATAAATTAAAATAATTCAGGATCATCTTGAAATAGCTTCTACCTATTCAGGACAAAGACCTCTATTTGGATTGCTGAAGGTTCCTTGTCCATATAAAATCTAGGGAAAAATAAGGACATTTTATTCCTCAATGGAATGGAAACCCCATGTAGAATGCCATCCCACCAAAAATCTCAATGGTTCCATCATTCTTATCCTTTAGAAATTCCTTAAAAGTTGACCTATTCAGAAAAAAGTTTAAGATTTCCAGTACATATACCTATTAGAATATTTCTGGTTATAATTTATGAAAATTAATAGTTTTGCCATTATTTCTCAATTAGTCTGCTTTTCTGTTATACCATACTTATAGTGTGGCAATATATGTATTAAATGAATAAATGTATATTTTCCACTGGTGGAAACTGCAATAGTCCCAAGTAAGAATCCTCTCAAAGGTATTTTTTTGGAGCCGTTTGCAGCTGAACATAACAAGTTATTCATCACAACTACATTAAACCTGCTCTACACTATCAACTTTTAACTATTTATGCTCTTCATTATACACAATGGAAATTCTCTGCATCTTTTCAAAAGCTGTAGTCTATGAAAAAATCAACTTAGCTGCAAAGCTTATTTAAACTAAACTTGAATTTCCAGAACTCTATACATTCTTAAATATTAATCCTGCATACTGTAATTACACTTAAACATATGTGCAAAGAAATGCTGCCCCAAACAAAATGCACTTTTCTTAGATATGAAGAAAAAGTATGGAAACACAGAGGAGAGTAATCGGCACTCCCATGTACAGTGCTCGATTTTTATCCAATAATGCAAGAAGCCTTTAAAATACGAACTTTACATCGTGGAGCTAGTTTATAGTTGTAGAATTTCCAGCAGCTTGCAATTTTTTTAAAAAAAAAGTTGCACGTCTGCAGGGCAGGTGGCCAAAGAAAACATAAGACCAGAAGAAGGGTGGAAGAATTCTAATGGACAATAAACTCTAGGATAATAAATGTATTAGTATTTGGGCGCCACAAAACTACTAGTGTCTTCGCTGCAACACATAAATAACAACAATTATTCATTCAAATTGTATACCGCCCGATTCTGTTCTTTAACCTAGCAGCTTTCCAAAAACAGGGTAGACGAACCCCACCAGCCACCTCAATCTACCCTGTCAGCAAACTCCAGAATACCTATAGGCTCTTTATTTGCTCGCTGGGGTGTGAGTGACTGAGCGCTGTCCTTCCAAACGGAGAATGAGAAGCTTCTCTCCATTTGGCAGATCCCTGTCGCTACTTCACTTCATTTGGCTTTTTCCAAACGAGGACGCTACGTAGAAAAAGCAAAGGGCCACCCGACCCATAAGGAAAGGGGGTGGAGCGGCCTCCTCCCTCTCGGCCTCGTCAAGTCTCTGCCCACTTGCGTATAGCAGGCCATCTGAAGCCCAGGCCCTTTCTTTCCCCGTAGGCCAGCGACAGCGGAACCCAGTTCGGTGAACTCCAATTCCGCCTTTCCCCTCATCCCTCCCCTCCCGCTTCAGATTACCAGAACGGCAAAAAAAAAAAAAAAAAAACCGGTAAGGCGTCACTTACAGGCCCACGCGCCGCGCACCATCTTTAGTGAAACCCCGCGAGACCTCGAGGCAGTAAAAAGGGAAAAGCGAACCCACCTCCGCCATCTTGAAGAAGGGCATATTTACAGCTTGCTTTCGGGGGAATTCCTTCCATCTCTATGGTCCAAACAGGCTTTTAACGAGCGGCTGATGAAAATAGCATTAACCTACCAGGAATCGTCAGCGTTTCGTTTTTGACTAGTCAGCGAAGACGAAACGTGGGTTAAAGGCCTACCAAGTTTTGGAAAATTTTGACAGGCCCACTTTTTTTCCTAGCGGGAAAAAGAACCGACTGAATAACAGCAAAAAAAAATAAAAATCACCACTATTTAGTAAGGGGCATCAATAAACGACATCGCGGTTAAAAAGAAGGGGGTTCGGGTCGGGGTAGGGGGGGAAGTAGATTATTTAAAACTGGATGGCACCATCCTCATCGACGAAAGAACTGCCCAACTCACAAAACAGGGAGGCTCTTAGCCAATTGGCTTTCGGTGGGGAGAAACTCGATTGGTCCTCCAAAGGGAACCTGCTTAAATTGCCGTTAATCGAAAACTAGATTCGAATATTGGCCAATCAGCTCTTCTCTGGGACCACCGTCACCTTGCCAACTAGGGCGGGACTAGAGTAAGTGCCTGCCGTTCTTCCTACTATATGTCAGTGTTTTAAGAGCTTTTCTTGTTGCGTGTCGGGTTATTTTTTCAATGGCTGCAATCGCAGTCAATTGCTTATGGCTGAGTAGGAGGAGCGCGGACTGGTTTGCGTTGAGAGTATTTCCCTCAGTAACCAATGGCGACGCCGTGAAGTTTGTGTAACAATTGTCTCGCCTAGTTGAAGTCTTCGACATTTAACCATGGTCAGAAGCTCGCTTGGTTGTGTGATTGACGGCTTCTCCGTTTTTCTCTCCAGGATATTGTCACACAGTGATGCGCTACGGGTTTTCTTTTTCCTGGAGGGAAAGTCTGTTTATCTTTTGATTGATATTGTGCCATCGTTTTTGCTTGCTGAAAATTTCTCTTTATTATCAGATTAACTAAAGATTTAAAAGTTAACCTTGGCACAGATTTGTTTAAATTCATATTATAAGATTGATATTTATATTAATATATTAATAGTTTATGTTAAATGTGCTTTTAAATAATGCACGGAATCCGAAAGTATGAGCCTTCTCTCCCAGAGGACTTGCAGTTTAAAACCAGAAGGAAGATGGAGATAAAGAAAGAAAACATTAAATTATTTTAATTCAAGATGCTAAAACTGAATTACAACAGAACACTGGAACTGCAGTGTTGTGTCAAATATTTAATGAGCTGATTTAGTTTTGACTGATGAAAGTCCTTACTACTGTGATCCAACCCTTTACTAGGGTACCCCTTTCTTTTGGATATTAAGGAAATTTAAGTTCAGCATATCTGCAGGCACTAAACTTTGATATAGACATTAATAGGTATATTTTGGATACTTGTTTCTTGAAAAACTCATGTTACACCCTACTCAGTTATTTAGGAAGCAACCATTTCCACAGCTATTTTTGATAAACCAGTGATGCTTTTAAGGAGCAACTACTGAGTGATAGCAATTAGAAAGAGGTGAAGATGGAAAAGTTGAAAACTGGACAGATTTGGTTGAGCCTATACTACCAAGTATATGAGAATTAAATGCTCTAAATATCATACAAGATTTTATTGTTTAGTCTTATTCAATGCTGCACTAACAATGTCAGCTGATTTTAGTAAGGCAATGTAAGTTCCCTTCCTGCAAAACTAAAATGTTAGATAGGTTCCCTATTTCAGTACAGTAATTGTTGAACTGTAGTTTTCAATAGCATGACCAGTGTTGAAGGATGCTGGGAGTTATAATTTAATTATACGTGGAGTCATGAGTTTCCCATGGAGCTAAATGGAGCTAAAGAATGGAGTTCTCTTTCATAAGCTTTGTCAATGGCTATCAAATTAAATGTCTTTAAAAGAGAGAAAACTGAGGGTGAATCAGTGAGTGGCTTCTTATTGTTATAACTCTGCTACCTCCTAAATCAGAGAGACAGCTTGAGATATTTCAGGAGCCTTACTTACTCTTATGCCTTACTGGTGTCCATAAAATGTTTCACCATTGACAGAAAAAGATGGGTTCAAAGGGATTTTGAACAACATATATACAAATTAATATCTAATTAAAAATCTAAAACTTTTCTTTCTGCTTCTGCTTGAACTAATGTGTTAATTTAATATAACTTGCTAATATAACTAATAGATTCCGTTCACTGTTTCAGAGGCCATTCCATAATCTTTCAACTTTTTATACAGAGTCAGAAGATTTATTGTTGGTTCATTTAACCCAATTTTGGCTCAATTTTGTCATATACTAGTTCTTTGTAGTCCTCCCTGAGAATAGTAATGATGCCAAAGGTTTGACATTACCTTTCTGCTCTGAAGGCATAAGGGAAGGTTGATTGTATATATCCACATTTTATATATTGCAATTATCCAGCTTCTGTGTATTCCTTCCTGAAACTGTTAAGCTCCAGGACCTGGATAAACTAACGCACTATATATAGTCACCAAAAGTATGAAGGTCCAGGATGAAATCAGTCATATGGTGCCTCCTAGTGGTCAATTTAACCTAGGATCCTGGGAACACAAGTGTTTTGAGAATTAACTATGGCAATCCTAATGCTTTTCTGACAGCAAAGTTATAAAAAGGTAATGGCAACCGAATTCAGGGATCTTGATTCCTTTTCCTGACCATGGATCATCTGGGTTCAGGCTCTCCCAGCCATGTATTCTCTGCTCCATTCCTTGCCAGTCACTTGTCACCTAGAAGCAATTACTGCCAAACATATAAGATAGCCCTTCATTCTGTCTATCTGCATTAGATTCTTTTGTACGTCTTTCTTTTGAAGCCAACATGCTTACTTGCAGGAGTTTCTAAGGAGTTTTAGCTATCTCTGCAAGTACCTGAACCAGACAGCTGGCAGGCCACTGCAGAGAAACAAATTGTGATCTTGAGAGTCGCATGATACATTTTTCTTTTTCAGCGCATTGTTTCACAAGGAGACTGATTGAGAATGGCAGAGACCACCTTGAAGATGATACTAGTGGAACAAACAATGGAGACTAATGAGAAATTAAACACTAATGGAAAAAATAATATCTCATCAAACAGGTATGTAATTTATTTGTTACCAAATTATGGTCTCTGCTTTTAATGTAAGTATTAAGATCTTGCTGTTTCATGTATGATTTGTTTTACAATAAAACCAGTTGAACTCAGTGGGGCTTATTTTAAACTGAATTTGCATAGGATGAGGTTGCAAAACTCATTCAAAAACATTATCCTGGAATTGAATATGCAGATTACCAAGATTATTAGCCAATTTCAAATGTCTGATTCAGAGTCATAAATATATATATAATGCTTCCAAAATTAATGAATGTATCAAAGGGCTTTCATGAGGCAGTCCTCAATTTTATGACAATTTTCAGAGAAGGTATAAAAATACAATTTTGTAACATTTGGAGGTAAAATACAGTACTGTCATTGCTTGAAAAAGTGGATAGCAATGGAAAAGATCTGTCAAAGATTTTCCAAAATACACACTGCAACCTAGTGTGAAGGTGACGGTATTAATCTATGTGGTTCCTCTTTCTGTTGACAACCATTTTTTCATTCTATTTCCTATAGGAAAATTTATATGGATTACAATGCAACCACCCCTCTGGCACCAGAAGTGATTGAGACAGTTAAAGAAGCCATGTATGAAGCATGGGGCAATCCTAGCAGTTCTTATGAAGCAGGTCTGATAAGTGTTTTGTGAAAGCATCTTTTTGGGATACAAGCATGCCTAATGGTAAAGGAGGGCTCTAATCTTAAAGGGTTATTGGAATAGCAGTTAAGGATTTATCAGAAGACTCAAACATTGAATCATTACAGTCTTCAGTCACTTCTAGTAGTAACTATGGAAAATAGAGATAGCCCTAAATAGCCCTAGTAACATTTAGATCTGACTATTTTGTTTAAATTATATGTACATACACATGCAACACTGCATTTTTTCATTGTTTAAAAAACAATACATGGGCTTGCTGCTTGAAAAGATGGTAGGATGGCATGCAATGTATGTGTATGTACATACAATTTAACAGAAAGCAGTCAGATGTGTTACTGAAAAGCAATACAAATAAATTTTAAAAAGTATGTAAAATTAGTCAAAGCATCAGCTACACCTGGCATTTACAGTTCAAAGTAGCAAAATAGCTTATGTGTTCTTAGTATCTGGTAGCCATCACTGGATATTATAAAACTTAGCCTCATTAATATTGGTTTGGAGCAATAATGGTTGGATAACTTTCAGAGTTGTAAGTTATGTTTTGCCTCCAAAACAGTGGGAAAAGAAATAGCATTTTAGCACATCTTGTGGCTAGGGTTGAGTGTTGTTTATTTAAGGAAGAAAATGCCATTTTAACACTAAAGTAGAGCAAATGATGACTTAAGTCTGTCTCACTCATGGAATAAAATGAAGGTAATTTCATGGGTACAAGACTGAAAAGTGGTGTTGCCAGGACATCTCTGTATAATGATTAGGTGCAACTGGGGGAAAAGCCCATAATTATAAATGCACATTCCTTTAGTGTGATGAACAATCCCCTCCCCCCAGGATGTACCTTATATGATACATTTTTGTGTCTTGCCTCCACAGGTCAAAGAGCAAAGAGGATCATAAATGAAGCTCGTGAAAATCTGGCTAAAATGGTGGGAGGACCGTTCCAGGACATTATTTTCACTTCTGGAGGGACAGAAGTAAGATATTTGATATAGTTTAACACTATTTTGATTCGGCTTTTATTTTTAAAACTGCCTTCAGTTTCTAGTCTTAGTCATATTTATTTTTATTTTTTGAAAATGAAATTCTGGATGAGAAAAATCAGCAAAAAATAGTAATTAGCTCAAAGAAAAATCTGTCTCTATCCTATGTTTTGGCAAATGACTCTTTGATCTGATTTGTATTTCTTTCTTTTCCTCCAGGCAAATAACTTAGTGATTCATACTGCAGTGAAGGATTTTATGAAAAGCAGCAAACGAAGTACTGTTGCAACAAAAGAAAGCCATGAAGAAAAGACTTTAGGGACACTTCCACATATCATTATATCTTGCATTGAACATGATTCAGTTCGTCTCCCTGTAGAGCACCTGGTGAAGGAACAAAAAGCTGGTGAGCAATTGACATTTTGTAGCTAGGGCATCAACATTTTTGGTGGCACTTTTGAAATGGAGGTAAGATGTTTCACAAAATGGCTGTTATTGTGGGCATGGCCATTCACAAAAGGCAAATTTAGTAGAACATGAATTTATGAGTTTCTTTACCTCACTATCCCATTTATGATCTCAAGATGCTATGTGTCACCCCCAGTTTACCTTTCTTGTTTTTTTATGGATAGATGAGTTTTCAGAAAAAGTATGCATCTGCAACTATTAAAAATTCTTTGTTTTTTAAAAAATATCCATGAAATCTGGCAAATCTGTTTGTGCTGTACCTCACTTCCTTATAGTTCAGTGAATTCAGGCAGTTTCTGTGTGAGATGCTTCCAAATGCTATCTGGCTATTTTGGACTTTAAAAAATACTTCACATATTTATGTCAAACCAACAGTTCCTGTGTTATCTCCATCAAGGCCATCTTATTCTCGGGAGGGAAAATGCATGCATTTCATTCAGACATCCTAGCTTAGATCATTGATTGTAGAAGATAATGGTTATAAACTTGAGGAAGGAATGCAAAAAAAAAAGTTAAATAAAAGTTATCATTATTATGAGCTTAAATTATTACTAGAATTTTATCCCTCCTTTTTATTTAATTATATGGAGTTAGGCAAGGAATTTGTAGGAGATGACCAGGCTGAGTTGGGGGTGGTGGGGTGGGGGCAAGTGCATCATCAGTTTGGAGTCCCTTCGTGCTCATAAGAGATTTAAGTCCAGCCCTCCTTGAATTCCATTGACTCTTATTTATCACCAATTTGCCTTGACTATTAATAATTCAGATTCTTGTAAACAGCTAGAATGGAATAAATTTCTACTTATTTGAATAACCTTGGTTCCTGGTTTCTTGCACCTGACAGAATTAATTATAAGCATTTTCTTAACTCTAAACTTTTTATAAAATAAAGGAGCTAAATTATACCCTGCTTTCAAGCTGCTGCTGAGTTCCTGAGGAGTTCCCTTTTTTCCTTAAATTCTGCCTTTAAGCTTGTAACTTTTTAGGTTTCCTCATGACTGTTACATCGTGCAGTCTCTGTTGCTGAGCGGTTTGGTTGGAACTTATCTGATATCCATTGTGGCATCCTTCAAACCTATTGTAAGAAAAATAGCAACTGCTTTTGAGCAAATTGAACTGTGGGGTGACTTTCTTCTTTTTATCCTGGTTTATAGAAGCCACTTTTGTGCCAGTATCAAAGGTAACCGGGCGAGTGGAAGTAGATGATGTTGTTGCAGCAATCTATCCAACTACCTGCTTAGTTTCTGTAATGCTAGCAAATAATGAAACTGGGGTTGTGATGGTGAGTTGTAAATTTAATTGTTATAATTCATAAATTTAAGGAAGATAGTTAGAGTTTTAATTAATTGAGATTACTCCAGATGTTAGGAAGTATTGACAGGTATTCTCATAAAACATTTTTTATTATTGTATTCATTCAGCCTGCTTTCAATCACTGACTTATGAATTGCAAATGACACATGATTGTGACTGTGAGGTTGTTTCAGTTGATTGTATTCCAAGGATAAGGCAATGTCTACAATTATGTTTAGATGACGAATAAATAAATAAAGCCACTAGAAACAGGTTTATTCATGTATGAGAATATAATGAATCCACTGAAATATTATATTTCTGTAACTGATGGACAAACTTTGTCTGCCCTACAATATTTTATACATTTACCACATTTTATAAAATTATGACTTTTTCTTTTAAAATATTAAATTTTAAAATATTAAATAAATTATATGTATGCTTTCATACACATATGCACACATACACACAAAGTTATTTCTGCTCTTCCTTTTGCTAAACTAATGCCAAAGATGTGTCAAAACAGGTTCTTTAGGGTGGCTGCTCTTAACATTTAATATCTTTTCAAAAAATTTCTTAATTTTTTGTTATTTATGCCGATGTTCTTGCTCCCATATTTTGCAACAATGATTTTATTTTTGCTAGCATGGGCTATTAGATTTTTCTTCATTAAATTGCTAGATATGTATGCAATACATTTTGGCTTAGATTTTTATTATAAAATTTGCTAAATAAGTAGAACAAGATCAATATTAAGTTAGTAGGTAGATTCAGTTATGCTAATCTTATTATGGAGGCAGGCAAATGTTAACAATAGATTTTATGATGTAGAAAGATGGTAATACCAATATAACAATAAGCCTATTAGTCATAGCCTATTCTTCAATTATGAGAGACTAGAATTATATTCAAAATGATAAACAGAGCATATTAGTTGATGTAATAGCTTTTCTATTTCAGTAGTTCCAAAAATGAATTATTAAATACTAACAGGGAGGGAAAGGTAGAGTTTTTGATAAAATTATATCTCCTGACACCTAATAGGATACTTTTCCCTCAGCCCATCTCAGAACTCAGTCAGCAGATTGAAGTTATCAACCACAAGAGAAAGGCCTCTGGTCTGCCATGGATCTTAGTGCACACAGATGCAGCCCAGATGATTGGAAAGGGGCGAGTGGATGTCCAGGACTTGGGAGTAGATTACCTCACTATTGTAGGGCACAAGGTATATTTTTCTCTGTTTGGGCTACTATCTCCTTGCTGTGACCTCTTCTGAACTTTGGAGAACTTCACACAAGAACAGCAGTTCTCACTTACTAAATTAGAAGCCACTGTGCCTCTAATTTGGTTTGTCATTTCTGGAAACTATTCTCTTATAGATTTCATGTGACATGCTTTTGGAATGTCTTTTGTTAGATAGCTATTCAGTAAACTCTGCTTTGAATAATCTTACTATGTATGTTGGTATACAGAATATAAAGCAGTGAAACAGTAGAAATAAAGTATTTAATTATGCCACATCTTTAGGGAGGCATATTCTGTTAAGTTTGATACCTCTAGGAAATTCCTGATAACTTTATTTTTCAAAGAGGAAGGTACAAGAGTATCTGTTATGTTTGACTTGATACTAGTCAATTGTAATATCAAGAAGTGGAAGTACTGGGAACATTGAGAGAAATGACTACAGTAGTGGCCAAAATTGTGGAAACCTTTTGCGAAAAGTGTATTTTTGAGGTTTGATGGCTAATAACACCACTTTTTTTTGGAATTTCAAGATAATCATATTCCACTGCTGGAATGACCTGGGAATAGCCCAAATCTTAATCCAATTGAAAATCTATGGAACCGACTAAAGAAGCTTGTTAGTCAGAAGCGACCCAGCAATAAAACCCAGTTAATAGAAGCAATCATTCAATCTTGGTTTCAAATTATAACAGCTGCAGAACTAAAAGACTTGGTTCACTCCATGGGAAGATGTTGTAAGGCCGTAATTCATGCTAAAGGTTACCCAACTAAGTATTAACTGACATGGTGATAATTTTTGTATATCTCGTTTCACTTTTCTTCTTTATAACTGCTATTCTAATAGCAAATCCTTCATAAAAGTTATTGCATTACATTCTTGATTAAATTATCTTTCCATTGATATATAATTTTATGGTACTACTAAAAAAAAAGTGTTATTAGCTAGTTTTAGAAAATACACTTTTCCCAAAAGGTTTCCACAATTCTACTATATATAAAGCTGAGATTATCCAGAGGGATGCTTGACTCCCTTACATTGGATTGTTCAAGCAGAGATTGAGTAGCCATTCAGCACTGAGCCTTTTACTTTGAATTCTTACATGGAATAGATCACCCAATCCAGTGCCAAACTGGCTTCATCCAGCTCTATAATTCGGTGATAAGAATCATCATTTGATTTTAATGACACTTCAGAGGGTCTTTTAAGAATTCTCCAGCAGATGGCCCTCAGGAATAATTTTTGCATGAAATCTTTTTAATTACTGAATTTTAGGACTCTTCCATGTGACAGCTTTAGCATGCTTTCTTCATCTCCATAAAACTTCTAGCATTTTGTATTACTCCTGTTACATTTTCCACTTAATTCTTACAGGAGGACAAAATTATAAAGTTGGAAAAAAAACCTTCATGACATCTGGTCCAATATCCTTGCTTAATTGAGGAACTGCAATGCAGTCTTCTTCTTTGGCCAATGGCTCTCTTTGCTTAAATGTGTCTGCCAACTATCTGCTGAAGAAGTCTCTTCACTCATCACTCTGTTCAATAAGTTTTCTTGTTAGGAACTTTTATTTGCATTGTTAACTATAATTTATCTCCTTCAGTTTTTATATATTGCTTTTATATGTTATGATTTATAATTGCAGTTTTATGCCCCACGTATTGGAGCCTTGTATGTGCGAGGACTTGGTATGAACACTCCCCTTCACCCCATGCTGTTTGGAGGTGGGCAGGAATGGAGCTTTCGTCCAGGGTATGGTGAACAGGAGCACTGGATGAACCAACTGAATTGTTAGAGACAAATGTATGATGACACTGTGGCAGGACGTATAATTTTCTTTGGTTCAAAAGCATGTAGGCATGCTTGATGACATGTTCAGGACTGTAATCTAAAAGAGGGTAGTGGGGCAAAACCCATCACGAGCAGGAATGAATATTTTATTTTATTTGTATTTATTTTTATTTAGCAAATAAAGTTAAATAATAAGTAAAAGAAAATAAAAAGTATTCTTTTAAACCCGGCTATGCTGCCATAAATCAATCCATAGTTCTCAGTCAAGGCAGAATAACCTAGCTGAAAATATTATGTTTTAGACAAATTATGCAAGGACCTAGCTGACTTGAGAAGGATCACTTGGAAAGGTAGAAAGGAAAAAAAAGGAAAGACCAGCAGTAAACTGAATGGACTCAGGTACAATGGTGACGTGTATGCCATGAGAAGACCTGAAGGGCCAGGTTAGGGACATATTGTCTTGCAGAAGATCTATCCATATTGTCACCAAGAGTCAACACCAACAGGATGGCACAGAATCAGTTAAAGATGGTAATCATTAAAAATTAAAGTTTTATTGCAGAAACACATCCATCTTTACTTAATCTAATTTATAATTCAGTAAACAAACACAAAAACACCTCTCTCTATATCTCTGAATCAAAAAGTATGGGAAATTAAATAGATAGATCCCTATCTATTTCAGTGCTTTGCTTTTCAATTCCAGTTGTCTGATTTTATCTTAAATTTCTGAAAAAGGAAATGCAACTAAGATAAGAGGGGAAAAGATAAACAGTGCAGGAAGAGAGCAGACTATGCTGAGAGTAGCAGATAAGGCAGAGAAAATGTGTAAAGGAAGGGAAAAGCAGCAGGATAAGGATTGCAGAAGAGTATAAAATGAATTGAGTTGGGAGAAGGTTGAGGGGAACTGGATTGAGGCAGCAATGATGGAAATACAACTGAGAAGGAAAATGAGTAAAGATCACAGGAACAAAGGATGAGAATTATCTAGGTAGGTAGGAAGCAGATATAGTATCAGGTAGGTTAAAGTCACAGAAGAGAAGCTGCAAGTAGAAGTAACACAGAAAGTAGAAAAAATGATGGAGGCAGCAGTGAGCACAATAGAGGGGAAACTGGAGGGAGAGGAATTTGGAAGAGAAGTAGAGTAATAGGCACTTATGAAGAGTAGAGGTCAGGGCTGATGCCTGAGAAACTGGTTTGAAAAGAAATCAGACAGCACTGACACCTGCCATGCCACACATTTTGCGCTTCTGTGCTATAATGAATAGTATGTAGATTTTAAGCATGTGCAAGAAAACTGTATTAAAAGGAAATATTTGGAAGAAAAATGCAAATAAGCTGGAAAAATAAGGAGAGGATTTTTTGTTTTCTAGGTAGTATCTTGATTTTCATTAGAAGTGTTTATTTACTTCATACATTAATATAGGTGAAATATTGTAATATCTTTGTTATGCTAAGTGTGTATGTAATGTGTTAAACAATTCACACAGTTGTAGACCTTGTATTTGTGCAATTTAAAGTGTATGAATAAAAGCTATTTTTTTTAGGACTGAGAATACTCCAATGATTGCTGGTCTTGGCAAGGTAGGCTTAAAAATGGTAAATAATACAAAAATGCAATGTGAATAAAAGCTGCCTGATTGAATAGTGTGTCTTTATTATGTTTCTTAAAAAAGAGGAAATAGGTATCATCACGTCATAGATTTAAATGCAGCACACATATAGCTGAAGGAAGGTAACTCTCTAGATTCTCTGAGATTTCTTTGCTTGGGCTTAGCCAATATTATTATTAATATTATTAATATTAGCCAGTACTCTTTAGTTTCTAGACTTTTGAGCCAAGTTTTCTCTGTTTGCATGGGGACCCAAAGTTCTAGACCTAGACTTAGACTTTCAGGTTAGTTTGACATATAGTTTGAAATAGTGATAAGATTATGTTGCAATCAGGTGCTTAAAGCAATCTCACCAATTTTTTTTGGTAGCATCTTGAAGTTTTCAGTCTTGGCAACTGCACAAGTAGCTTATCAGACTAAAAGTAAAACATCAAGATAAAATATAAACAAATGGCAGGGACCAGTGCTTTTGTGATTTGCCTCCTTTTGTTACCTCCCTCCTAGGGAATGGCTGTGATTGTTGAATGTGGGTCCTGCAAAATATGCTTTGCATGCTTTGAAAATCATTTGCAAAAAAGACAAAAATAGCCTTTTGGACCTACCAGGTATTGATTTAAAAAATGTTAGGTTTTTGAGTAGCCTTGAAAAAGAGTTTCAGGTTTCTCCCAATTATTTTTGAAGTTTGTTCAGCCATACTGCAGAATACCCCAACATTTCCTGTTGTCTCAGGAAACAACTGAATGAAAACATTTTGGTAACCTTCTACCGCTACACTATGGAGAGTATTTTAACTTACTGCACCTGTGTATGGTTTACATAGTGCACAGTGCAAACCAATTGCACAGTGGCAGACAGGACAACACTCCAGAGGGTTAACATTGCCCAGAGGATCACTGGTTGCCCTCTTCCCTCCTTGGAAGAGCTTTATAGCTTCTGCTGCCTTAAGAAAGTTCAACACATTCTTAAAGATCCATCTCATCCTGAGCACCCTTTTTTTGAACTATTACCATCTGCAGACAGTACAGGACAATAAAAACAAGGACAAATAGGTTGAAAAACAGCTTCTACCCCAGAGCAGTAAGATAGATAGATAGAATTCTTTATTGGCCAAGTGTGATTGGATACACAAGGAATTTGTCTTTGGTGCATATGCTCTTAGTGTACATAAAAAGCTATATTCAATATATAACTATATTGAATTCTACTGTATAGTGTAATATTAATGCAGAATCAGGGGTTTTCAATTAAATTGTATAGAATGTGAAGGATGTGTGTTTTTGTTTTATTTTTATAGTTTTCTTATGTATGATGTACACTGAAGATGGCATTTAATTAATTTCGTTGTATGAGATGCAATGACAATAAAGTAAATTGAAATTATTACTTTTTTGGGGGGGGGTGTCCTGTGGAGGAGGTTCTACCATATTGGCTTTTTATCTATCCTGGCTAATGAAAATAATCATCATATGGTCAGGTGTACAAGGAAACTGAATGATTCCTTTCGAATTTGGCTCTAATATTTAATCTGATATTCTAACCTTCTTTTGCAGGCAGCTGAATTGGTGAATGAAAACTCTGAGCTATATGAAGCTCACATGAGGAAAGTTCGGGATTATCTGGAAGAAAGGCTTGAAGTAATTTCAGACAGTTTTCTGCATAGTTCTGCTGTCTTTATATGGGAGCAGGAGATGACATCAGAAAGCTCTATTATCCTGTACTAAACACAGTCATGGGGCAGTGATGCCTTTCAATCTAAATGGAAGCAAAGCAAAGGGCAAGAATGCTAAAAATAGCAAATGGACAGAAATGACATAGGGAACACATTGGTTCAGATTATAAATACATGTATCATGTCTGGATTAACCCAGTGACTATTGCAGAACTGCCAATTGAAGCCTCTTGGAATTGCCTTTCTTGGAATTCATTACTACAAGAATTATGACAAATATCCTATTTTGATTTGCCAGAACAAGGTAGACATAACACATGACCTTTCAGATATTCTTCCCACACCTGTGAACAAGGTGATAGTTAATCCTATAAGTGCTATTCTAAAAATTATACTGCCACAAGGGCAATACTACCCATAAATATTATTTCTTTATGTATCTAAAATTATAAGATGCTTTTATTTTTTTCTTGAATTCAGTGATATCTGTGGTATGTGCGTGTGTGTTAGTCGACGTTTTATAAAAAGTGTTATTTCATATTCTAGACTATATTTGGAAGACAAAATATCCATTTTAACTGTCGACTGGAAGGCTCTAAACGACTTTGCAACACCTGTAATTTTTCTATATTGGGCTCAGGTCTACAAGGTAACATCTATGTCTATACCTGCACTGTTCTTTAAGAACTAGTCTATGATTGATTTATGGGATTTTGTATCTAGTGATCAATACAAAATTTAATATTAATTGCTTTTAAAACTAATCTCTGCCTTAGACCAAATCAAGAGGTTATCAGCATGCTTTTGTGTGCTTAGTCAAAATTTCATTGTTAATTTCATTATGAAAATGCCAACTACAGATGCAAGATATAAAGATAATGTTATAATGTCAGACAGATAATGTCTGTAATTAGTCAGAAGGCATTTTGCTGTTTTGTCCATGAAACATGATTTGAAATGTATATTTCCCATGTTCTAATTTAGTTGTAGCAATTTTATATGTGTAATCCTAACATTGGTTGTCAACATTCATGTGATGCCAATTCTATCAAATTATGAACAAGGATTGATTTTTTTAAAATTATATCCCAGTTATACTTGATACCATAGGCAAAACTACAAGCACATTTTATGTGTTTCTTCCATAGTTAGATCCAGAGGTACTTCATGAGAAGAGAGCAGATAATATATCTTGTTTTTTCTGTAGGTTGGCTGGTGCTCTCACGCTGTAGGACTTTGCTAGCCAGTGTTGGGGCAGCCTGCCACTCTGAAAAGGGTGACCAGTAAGTAGCCAGTGTTGTGGAATTAGATTTCTGTAATTGGAAAGAGTATGTATATAAGTTTGTTTGTGTGTGTATTTTACAAAGAATTAACCACTTAGAGTCATCACAGCTCTCAATTTCTCATATTACCCAAGAATTATGGAGAGGTGATGATAATGTTTAACATCTGCTGTGAAGAAGGACATTATTAACAGTGTTTTGTGCCATTTTATCCATACTTTTAGAATTTCATGAGCCACAGCAAACATTATGTTTGGGATAATGTTATGTTGCCATCTTTGTCATAATAAGCAAGCTATGCATTGGTAATAATATTAGTGCTCCTGCTAACTATTCACCTATGTTGCTTAACTAGTGTTTATTTAGCATATAGCATAGAGTACATGGATATAACTAGTAAAATATATAAAAGGAGCTCATTGTGGTACATGTATTATAGAAATATGTAGCCAATGAGGAATTCAAGAAGTTATATATAATTTATAGGTTACATTTTGAAATAAGTTAGTTCATGAGAATGGGAATAAGTGTTCTATAGATATATTAATATCTAAGCCATTTATCCAATTAAGTGCAGTATTTGTTAATTGGAGAAAATCTATTTTTCCTCCTGTATAAGCTCTCAAATAACAATTAGTCAACCATTCTAACCATTATATTCTTAACAACTAGTAATGGCATGTGACAAAGTATTATGATAAATAATTACAGCCCTTTATAATTACATCAGTTACATCATTGTAATTTCCCCCTTCCTCACTGATTTATAATATTATCCAAGAAATAAGCACCATTCACAATCCATTATTCTATGAAATAGGAACAAATATTATATGATTTAAATAATTGTGTTCCTCCATGGATCTGCTACCAGTTGATTCTCTATATATTATTCCTTCTGGGTCTTTAAGAGTAAGATGTGAGGAAAGAGATATTATGCAGCTTTGATAGAAGTAGGAGAAGAATTGATATTCAGAAGCTGAGAGAATTTTGATTTAGCTATCCAAGCCATTATGAAAACTGATCAATCTGCAGACATACAGTACGTGTTTATTCCTAGTGATGAGCATATGCTTTGCACCACTGTAAACAAATATTTTCCCAAATCCCCATAGCCCTCTTTTTTGGAGCAATGGCCTGTATAATTAATGGAGCATGAGGAATTAGGATATTGCAAAATGCTTTTATTCTGACGACATAAAAATGTAAAATGATGTACCAAGTATCAAGAAGTTACTTGCTCTCCATAATGTGTGCTGTATACAGTATTTCAGATACCACAGGTTAGTATAAGTACTTTGCATTTCTACCTTTCTTTTCACAAGACTTAAAATCATACTCTGGAACCTATAGAATATTGTTAAAATTGCCATTGGCATTTTGGAATGCAAATAAGATAGCTACACAATATTAAGAGACTTATTCTAGTAGTTTTGCTGTGATCCATGACTTGAATCCATAGTCTGGTTTATTATTGATTTGTTTTTCTCTGTCTCACCAATCAATTTATAGCATAGTCACTAAATATAATCAAATCTGAATTTATCTATTCTTGTAGATAAAATGGTTAATTTAAAAAAATATTTTTGATACAATTATGATTCTTCTGAATCTTTTAATGCTGGCTTCTCAGGTATAGGTGTTCTATTTTGGCTACATAAAGACTTGGATTTAAAGTTTAAATTTGTTATTAGCTGGTGCAATAACATACTGTATTAAAAATCCACAACTTTTCATCACAGTTGGTTCCATAATTCATTAGGAGTATGTGTTGTATATAATAACTTTTTATCAGTTTTAAAGTGCTAATAATAAATAACAATTCCACTTTCTCCATACTTAAAAGCCCTTAATGTTTAGCTTGTCATCCATATAATATTTATTATTGAACATTAATATCTTTACCTTAATCTAATTACATTAATTCAGTAATTCTGAAAGAAATTTCAGAATTACTGAATTGTCTGGTATTGTTTAATTGTCTATTGTCCTTATGAAGTTGGAATTCTGTAGACCTCAGCATAAAAACTTGACCATACGTGAATTTCTATTGAAACAAAAATATCTTAGAAATAAATGTCTTTTGGACTGGAGGAGCTATGCATAATTTGTTTTCTTTCTCTATATGCTTCTCAGATCACCATGGTAAAAATATTGTTAAAAGTTATATTTTGCTTTAATTGTGTCTTTTCTCCAGGCCCTCAGCTGTTCTGCTTAGCTGTGGAATTCCTTATAATGTTGCACAGAATGCCATACGCCTCAGTGTGGGCCGTGATACAAGCAAAGAAGATGTGGATCTGATTGTAGAAGATTTGAAACAGGCTGTGGCTGAATTACAGTAGGCTGGATACTTATAGTTAGCAACAACAACAACAACAATAACAACAACAACAACAACAACAAAAGATCCAGTTCATCAGTGTCAGGAAGTGAGCTTATCTAGTCCTGATACTCCATTGCTCAATGTGCTATACTTACATCTGACATATTGTGAGCTATTATGTTCCCATCAATTCTATGAAACAGAATTTTTGTTGAACATCAAGTAATTTGTTTACATCTATTGAATACCTAGGAGCACTGTCTGCATCTATGAGCACTGGTTTCCCCCCCCCTCAATTTTAGCACCAGTAAATCCAATTGGTGAATTATACCTTTTAACATGTTTTATCAAGCAGAAGGAAGAGCAAGGAAATATTTCTACTGGATATTTAGAGTTGGTGCTGAGCAGAAAACAAATGTGAATATAATGGTTGTCCCAAAGGTGCTTTTTCCAAAAGGCAACTGGACTTTCTTTTTTTTTTTTCTTTGAAAATGTTTACTTCTCATCCAAGAAGCTTCTTCATTCATGTCTATGGAAATTCTCAATCATCTAGGTCATGGTTGTCCCAAAGTGTTTTTCCCCAAAAAGCAACTGGACTATATTGGGTTTTTTTTCTTTGAAATGTTTCATTTCTCATCCTTCTTCAGCTTCTTGAATGAGAAGTTTTCAAAGAAGAAACCCCAAAAAGTCCATTTGCTTTTTGGAAAAAACACCTTTGGGACAATCATGACCTGGAAGAAGGAGAATCTCCATAGACATGAATACAATAGGTAGAAGGTATATGCATTTATATTCATATAAATGTGTATATGCCAGACATATGCATACATATATGGTCAAGTAAATCTCTAAATTTGAAACAATCAGGGATTTGCCTTGGAGATGTTTATGTTTAACCCAGAAATGTATAATAATAAATTGTTCTACTCTAATAAATACATGTATGCATATGCAATGTGAAAGAATGTATAATACATCTATCAAGTATAATACATGTATTAGAATTAAGTAACAGAGAAAACCAGAATATTGGTTACATATAGGCCTGCTTCCTTCCATTTAACTTTGCATTAAAGGGTTATTTATAGTTTTAAGTAGCTAAGCCTGTTGCCTTTAGTTTTGCAAAATAAAAGTGGGATATAAATCTAATAACTAATTAACTGAAAAGTAAATCTTGCTGGAGGCAACTCAGATGTTGGGGATCTGAATCACGGGTTGCTGCTGTCCCTTTCTGCCATGAATGGCAAGAGGACAGAATTACCCGCAACAGTAATTCCCTTTTGAAGGAAGCAGGTGCTGCAATAGAAGTTGGGTTTCACTGTCGCTGTTCGTTACAAATCCTAAAAAGTTATAAATTTCATAAATAGGAGACCTCTCTTGAAAAATCCTACAAAAAAAGAGATAATGGCAGCTGGGAATATATATGGCAGTTTTAAATGTTGAATTTCAGAAATATGTTGAAATTGACTTGCATAAGTGGAATAAGGTCTACTGTTTTTGTGTTTTGTTTATTTTTACTGCATCCACTGAAACATTGTTTGCTAATAATGATGGAGCTAAAGAGGTAATGTTTGGCTTCTTAGTATTGTACTTGCTAAGATTTTAATAGGAAATTCTCCAGTATAACTCACTCACTGACCTTTCATAGTATTATTTGTTTTACATGGTAGCATGACCTGCTACTAAATGGTCAAAGTGGGTTATACTATAAACAGATGCCCTCTGTAAAATGTAAGCACAATTATGTCTTAGCATGAAATACAACTGCTTAGTTATTCATAGAAAGATACAACATACAAAGAAGCAACCAATTCATGTATCTGATTTTATGTTGACTGTAATTTAAAGCTAATTTAAGCATTTTATTCTTCTGTATTTTTAATCTCATTTTTTTTTATTATATTTCTATACCGCCTTTCTCCCGTAGGACTCAAGGCGATGTACAGTCAAGAAAAATATAGACACACAAACATCATAAATTTTTTTGAGAGTTGGCCTTGCCCATCTCTTTTAACTATGATACTGCAGGAAATTTATTTGTTGAATCTCTGTTTAATCATTGTGGGATCTGAGAGAAACCTATCATAGGTTTCTATGGGACCTATCAAATATTATCTAATCATCTAGTTTCCTTCATGTTCAACAGTTCTGTTTTAAAATATTTGCATCGAACAATAACTATAGAGATCTATATCCAGATTTTCACAGATTCAAGGATATTTTACATAACGGTAGTTTTTGAAATTAGTATGATTGAATCCCTTCCCCATTATCCACTCCCTCTGCTCTTGGGAGATGTGTTTAGAAAATGCAGTCTCTTTCCTCTGTCCAGCCAAACCGGTTCTTGTTTTGAAACCCAGTACAGTTTAAACCCCAATTACATTCTTGTAATTTGGAAATATGTCTTGATTTGCAAAAAACTTATGAAACAGTTTCCTTTCCCTGGCTCTTGTCTTGATCCCTCATCTATTTCTGTCCCTGATCCAAAATTAGGTTTATTTATTTATTTATCCATTTATTTATTAAGAAATTTATATACATTTCTGGATAAATTTATAAGGCATGTTTGTGATGGAGGCTCTGTGCAAGAGACAAAAACATATGTTTAAGTTTGTAGCTATATGGTTCTGGGTTGTTTTCACCCTGTATGTTTTCTGTGAAATTAGATTGAATGACAGATAAAAAAATATTGAACTGAAATTAATTATGAAGGGCTAAGGTGTTTGTGATAGGAAAATTGGAGTGAAAACTGGAATTAAATATGTGGTAAACATTAGAGTAAGAAAATTGTATGTCTTAGTAGAAGATTATCTAAACAAGGGAATATGGATGGAGAGATATTCAGACATGCAAATAATAATAGAGAATATGGTGTAGTCTGTCATGAGGAATTAATATTGAAAAGTATTAAAATGTTTGTATATAATAGAGTGCTTCTGCCAACTTTCTTTGCTTATTGAACTTGTAAAATTATTCCATTTCAAGTGACCCAGAAAATGATGAAAATATGGAATTGCACTTAAAAAAAGCAAATGGAGACAAAGGAAACTCAAAAAGAAAAATAGTAATTAAAGTTTCTTCAGGTTTTTGTAGCCTATAATTGATGAATACATAAAACAGATAAAATTGCAGTTTAACAGTACAACTTTTAATTTTTGCTATTTTTAAATTAGAGTATAAAATGTGCTTTGATTTTGCATTTGATCAGTCCATTTAAAGTACATTTGACACTAGGAGTTAATGTCACAAAAGGAAACTCTGCTATCTCTTACCAGGCCTGTGTTCCTTTCTTAAGCCCACAACAGAAATTGGGATTCCTATCATCTTTTACCAAGTAATCAGAAACATTCATCACCTGCTTGATAAATAAAATAAAAAAAAAATCAGAGAAAGTAAGAAAACCAGTAAGAAAGCTCAGATAGATGGGAAAGCAAAGTGCTGTTGTATTAGCTACCAAGGAACACAACCAGCTGCTGATAGCAATCAGAATTAAATAGTACTCTGAATCAGGACCTAGTCTTTCATGCATCATAAGCAAGCAAGGAGGATTTTCTCAAATCTCTGGCTCTGCAAGCAAAGCTTCTTGGGAACCAAAAATAAACAGTGGGGCAATTCCAGCATGTGATGGAGCAACTTGCCAAAATACAACAGCTGAAGAAGGTGGAGATAATAGTGTGAAAGTAAGTTGATAAGGACTTTCTAAACATACACTATAGAAACGAGAAGAGTTGAACTTTGTTTATACCACACATAATTGTTGTGCCTGTATACATATTGCTCTTCGATTAGCTGTGAATGCCAGCAATCGTTGGATTTTACTGCTATATATATATATATATTTAACCCTCATCATTGAAAAGTTGCTTTCCGGCATTTATCAGTTGTTCTTCATTATGAGAAGTGGCGTATTCTAAAATAGGATCGTGGATTTGAAAGAGCCTGCTATATCTAGGGCACCACTGTGGAAACAGACATTGCAACAGACTGAACGTTTCTCATTGTTTGCAAAGGGACCATTTTACATTTCTTTACAGGATTGAATAGCAGCTGTTCAATTAGAGAGGACAAATATTAGGACATTACTAGAATAATGCAAAATGTTTTCTCCCAGCCATTTATTCATTTGCTAAATTACAGTATATCCCATCCATCTTTCATTAATGTACAGATTTAATCATTTACATTGTGTGCTGTGGACTTAATGTGTGTTTGTTGAACTTAATGGGAAGTATTAAGCATTAGGCCTTATGCTGCAATCTTAACATTTTTATTTGGAAGTAAACTTTACTGAATATTATTGAGCCGTCTAGTACATATACATATACACACATAGAATTAAAAATGCATTATCACAGTTCTGGGCATATTTACATAAAAGTACATGCTGCTGAAATTAAACATATAATTTTGAGCAACAGTTTTTACATTTCCAGTTCTTCCTTTACAGATAGTTTAGGGATTTGCTGCATATGTCTAATTTTGGAGAAGCAGTTTATATACAATGAGGCTTGTGTCTACTACAGGTGATACTTTGTATCATTTTGGCAAGTAGAAAAAAAAAATCTTTAACCTTGAGATGATTTTATAACTTTGTCTCAATGAGGGCATCTCATCTAACCACCATTAAGCCTCACCAGGCGTAAGTCTAGGAAACACATTTGGATTAACATACCACAGTCTTAACGATCTATATGGTAATTAAGATGGGTGATGTTTAATAACCACAAAGAAACAGATCACTCAGATCCAACAAAACCACTTTCAGGAGTGCAGTTGCCCCCCAAAATATGGAGCTACCTGAATAGAATCAGGACAGGCCATGCCAGAACTAAGGCATCTTTAAGTGGGGAATGGCTAAGAGCCCACAATGTGACTGTGGTACACCAAAACAAAATGTAACACGTATCATTCAGGAAAAATCAAGGCATCTGGGATGATCTCATTCCAGCCACATCAGAAGCAGTTAGATCTTGAAAATGGTAAGCAGAACCTCTAGCCCTATTATATTAGTAAATAAGTTCACTAAAGTAGAATGTCTTTAAAAGTTTTGAATCTCTTTGGAGTCTCTGCACCCTAGGCTGAGTTGCTATTTGTCAGATACATGTAGTCCTCAATTACAGCCATGGTTGGGATTAGAATCTCAGTCATTGAGGGATTGTTAAGCGAGATGTCCATATGACTGCTTGCTCAATGATCACAATCTCAGCACTCTCAATTGCAGTCGTTAAGCAATCTCCTGGGGTGTTAAACTGGCAGAACAAAAGAGATGCCTGCCAAGCTCAGTGACCCTCTGTGTGTGGAAGGTAACTCCTCAACTGGGCTGCAGAAATTGAGTTCGAATCTTCGGGATCCAAGCTTCATTTCTGCACCCTGCTGAAGGAGTCCCCCCCCCGCCAAACAGGCAACTCTCAGCCAGCTCCAAGAGACAAGAAGTCCACTTAGCAGACAGCAGCAGTTGTCTTGCAACCTTCCCTTGCCAGTTTCCCCATTGACTTTCTGTGGAAAGCTGGTAGAGAAGATTGCAAATGGCTATCTCATGATTGCAGGGTGCTTCACAAATGGTCATAAGTGTGAACAGATTGCCAAACACTAGATCACGATCATGCAACTGTGGGTGCCATGTTTTTTGATGGTCAGAAGCTGTCTTAATTCCAAACTGTTGCTGAACAAATGGTCATAAATTGAGAATTACCTAAGTCATTAACATCTTCTATCTATTGGTACTCATGTCTCAAATTCCTCCCATTTCTTCCTCATCCCCCTCACAATCTCTCACAGATGCTAGGTTAAGATGACTGCATATCCAGACTACTACAAAAAAGAAAGAACACACAAGAAGTTCCAAGATTTGCATAAATAAAACAAAACATAGCATGAAAATAATGAATGGAGGGGGAAAAAAACCCCAAGGAGGCCTGAGCCTTATCACTTGAAAGAGCAAAAGGAAAACTAGGGAGATGAAGTTGAGGGATGAAAGCACAGTATTAGGTATACAGTTCTTGTTTCCCAATCTACCATTTTGCTTAGACTGGTTGTGATTAAAACCCAGGTTTTCTACCCATCCTGGCCTTCAATCTGAGAACTATAATTCCAATTTTTCTGGAAAGAACATATTGGGGAAGTCATGCCTTCCCTCAGTCGTGAGGGAATGCTCAGCAAAGCATTGAAATGGCTACTGTGGTTAACCTGACATATTAACTCTGCAGTCCTAATCAAAGGCTTAAGTTTCATTGAACAAAGCATAGAAAATAGAAAATAGCCTGAGATTTGGAATAGGAAACCAGAGCCTCTGTCACCACTCAGGTTCCTAATAAAATATTAACGGGGGAAAAAACCCACCAGATTGCTTCATGGCAATAACTGTGGCCCCACAAGTGGGCCAAGATGTAAGAACACTGGGCTTTTGTATAAATCTTATAGACTTCCATTCTTGTGATGGTTTTTTTTTTTTTTGCTATAATGGAGGTGTATAATTTGATAATGTATTAGATTAAATATTGAAACAGTGGATACCACTTCTGCCTACCCTGGTTGCAGCTCCTTCCCTCCAGCCCTGGAATATATCCACTATTAGAAGCAGCCCAAAATTGATGTCTTTAGCTGATGTCTTTAGATGTATTGCCCATTTATTTATTTATTCAATTTGTATAGCTGCACCCCTTAGACCAGTGACTCTGGGCAGCCAACAATCATAAGATCAATTAAACCAATTAAAAACACAATATAAAAAGACAAATTAAATACAGGTAGCCCTCGATATACTTCATTTAGTGATTATTAGAAGTTACAATGGCACTGAAAAAAGTGGTTTATGACTGTTTTTCACATTTACAACCATTGCAGCATCCCCATGCGGTTCAGACGCTTGGCAACTGACTCATATTTATGACAGTTGCAGTGTCCTGGAGTCATGTGATCACCTTTTGCAACCTTCTGACCAGCAAAGTCAATGGGGAAGCCAGATTCACTTAACAACCATGCTACTAATTTAACAACTACAGTGATTCATTTAACAAATATGGCAAGAAAAGTCATAAAATGGGACAAAACTCACTTAACAATGTCTCGCTTAGCAACAGAAATTTTGGGATCATAAATCCAGGACAACCTGTATATAAAGTAATTAACAGATATTATAGTCTGTCAATATTAACATAACCAGAAAATGGCATCCTTCACATACTTGGACCTCAGACTTGTGCACATAACCAGTACTTCAAGGCTTCTGAAAGGCCAACAGGGTATCTCAGTAGGGAGAATATGCCAGAGAATGGGGCTATGACAGAGAAGGCATATCTCCTAATCCCTACCAGTTGACATTCCTTGGACAATGGAATCTGGAGCATGTCCATCATTCTGAAGCAGATTGGAAGAAGAAACAACTGTGAGAAGAGGCTCCGTCAGGGAACCTGATCCCAAGACATGCAGGGCTTCAAAGATGGCAACTAGCACCTTGAATTGCATCTGAAAACACTGGCAGCTAAAGCAGCTCACATAACATTTACAATCCATGCTGTAGCAGCCAAAGCTTCTGAATGCATTTCAAGGGCATCTTCATGTAGTGTGTATTTCAGTAGTCAAGACCGAAGATCAAAAGGGCATGAATGAAAGTGAGCAAAGTCACGGTTCAGGAATGGATGCAATTGTCACAGAACTCAAAGGTGTGCAAAGACCCTCTTGGCCACAGCTACCACTGTTCTTCCAAACAGAAGCCATTAACAAAAACAATTCCCCAGATTGCACACCAGGTGATCTGAAGCAGTGCCACCCATTCAGGACCAAAGGTAGAAAAAAACTCACACCAGAAGACCCAAGTACCCAAAGCCATTCAGTCTTGCTTGGGTTGAACCAAAGCCTATTGCACTCCGACCAGGCCCTTGCTAATTGGATACTGAGATAGGCAATCCAAGGTAGGGATACAAAGTT